AAAACCGTGCCATAACGGATATTCTATCATTTCTATCTGCGCGGCAGCCTTCAATTATCGTTCTGGTTTCATTTTCAATAATAATACTGTAGCATGCTAGCCACATACTTTCAAACAAACAGCTTGTATCCTCCACAATATTTAACTTTCAAATCATGTTTTTACAAATAACAGTATTAAGGTGATGAATACTGGCAAATCAGCTCAGGAGAAAGGACATAAAGCAGTTTCAAATTTATGGCTCTATTTATTTTTTTATTTTGGTTTTGTGCTGTAATTTTGTAAATTTTTCTAAAATAATAAAGGTAATTGCCCAATCACAACTCTTAACAATACTGTATTATTGGCATGAGCGTTTAAATAAATTAAAACGCTTTCCTCTTGAATGTTTTAATGCATAGCTCGTAGTTTAACAATATTACAAATTCTTCACTTTTAGGTGAGTTATTGGCCACAAATACATTGTAAGTTTGATTTCGCAAGTTCTTGCAAACTTTGTTTAACACCTGGGTTCAAGAAATTTTTTACGATCAACTTTATGGTTGGCCATTTGCCTGTACATAGACTATAACTACATTATGGTTAAATGGTACGAAATCGTATTTTACATTCTCAAACCCTTTGAATCACATTTACCTGAATAACGTAAAGTACCTATATCAATACTCGCTTTAACGAAAATATTAAAAACAAATTCAATTTAAGCTTCTTAATGTTATGTTTAATAATAAAATACAGAATGTTTATTATTGTGTTATGTACTGTTTAACAACCTATAGATATATTATATGCTTCTTGTTATGTTTATATGATCCGAACAATTTTGAAGAACCCAAACGGGTTTATTTAGTTATGCGCCCGCGTAGGTAGTAGGCATTTGCCAGAAATCAGGGCTTACAGCAAAAATGCGATCGTCTCTCTAGACAAATGACAAAGTGAACTCAGACCCAATGGAAAAGGTTTTGGTAGAAATCTAACAATACGGCAATGTAGCTATTACTGTTGTGATATTAATTAACGTTATTTTAATCTGGATCAATTTCCATATCAAGGAGTTATATAAAACAAACTCGAAAGTCTTTACGTTGGCGCATTTATTAAACTATGTAACAAAATTTTTAATTAATTTTTTGTTTAAACTGCCAAATATAAACGAAGTTACGTGGCCAAGCAAGATGCAGATAATTTTCTGTGTTTGTTCCATTAATCGTCTTTCTTGGTTAATTAGTTATTCTAGATCTTGGTAAATTACGAATTATTTTGTATTCCTGGGTATTGAACCGCACTAATAAGATTAAAAAAAATTAGGAATTGAAGAAAATATTTACTATGTTTATACTACTTTAATATATTAACAAATTGTCCCGTATATTGTAAATTGAATGAAAATATTAACTTATACAAAAATAGAGACTTCTGGCAAATGTCTGATAAATTGATTTTGTAAAATATTGTTTACAAAAAAGATAATTTCTAACGATAGAAACTATGGTGCTTAAATAATAAATTATATTTGAATAAATATTAGAAAAAATTAAAGACACATAGCGTTTGATTGACAACAATATCACATCACATGTTTTCATACGACAAATACCACTACCAAAGAAAAACTGCCTTGATATTGTTTACTAACTTGACATATAAAACTCAGGCTTATATACTTCCATGAGTATTATTTAATACTTATTCATATCACACGAAATCCTCACATGATAAATGCACGAAAACATTAATCCAAAAAAACTTATTAAAATATACCTTTACCCTCTTAGCCAGGACCATTTACTTATTTATATTAGTAATAGATTTGTGTATAGATAAATAAGCTACATTACCAGCTATGCACCTTCAAACTTAACACTGAGCACTGCTTTCACGTTTGCACAGACAGACGACTTGATTCCGAATACAAACAAGAGGCAACACCTGTAAAAGTCATTAAACTCGATAATTATATAAGTAGTTCGATCGTCCTTGTGTTAAAGTCCATATACAGGATGATATAAGGATCTAATTACTTACAAGAGTTCTGAAACGATTCAAGGACCCATTTCTTAAACATGTTTAATTCGGTTTATTTATTTTGTAGTTCTAAAAAATGTACAGCTTAATAACAATAAAATATGACGTTATAAATTTTACTAGAACATCAATTACATTATAACATAGAAATTAGACACAAGGAACAAAAATATTGCCAAAATCGCATATTTCAATTAAATCTTAATAAAAATTTATCGCCGATTAAATTATTTAATTTATTCAGTGATTTTAGCAAAATGAAGTGGAAAGTGATTTTGTGATATAAGATAAAACTTTGGCAGCGTATCCGGTGCGTTGAATTTTTTTTTTTGTAGAATCGTTAGTATCGTTTTTTGTTATTTGTTACATCTCAAAATGTTCTTCTAATATGTAATAATTCTAAAAAATATTTATAATTAATAAACCTTCAGTTTTCAATCATACATTTTAGGATATCTTAATATATATATTTCTTGTGTGCGTGTGTATGTGACTGAACTCCTCCTAAACGACTGGACCGATTTTGATGAAATTTTTTGTGTGTGTTCAAGGGGATCTGGGAATGGTTTAGATTCACAAACCAATGGTTGTCCTGCATGATATTTAAAGCGATTAGGATATTAAGCAAAGTATGAAAGTACCGACTGCAGTGCCATCTGCCGGGCTGATTTGAATCTAAACCATTCCCAGATCCCCTTGAACACACACAAAAAATTTCATCAAAATCGGTCCAGTCGTTTGAGAGGAGTTCAGTCACATACACACGCACAGAAGAAATATATATATTAAGATTTTAATAAGAAAATAAACAGATTATCAAAACCTTATTGGAATTATTACCCATATGATGTTATCGTTAGTTTATTGTGACGTTTTTACTAAAATGTAGATCCAAAAATTATAAATTTTGACACGGTTGTACTAAATTTGAAAAAGATCTTCCATCTTCTAAAATTCATAAAAATTCTAGAAAAGAACTAATAATATATTTATAGATAGATATCATTTTTTTTTAGTTTTTATAGTTCATAATATTATAATATAACCATGCAAAATTTTCTAGTTACAAAACTTTAGTATGTGGGCTAAACCAATAAAGCGTAAGCAAGAAACATTCGTCACATGAGAAATCCTTTGTCTTTGGTAAGTATTATGTTGTAACAAATACGATGTATTGCTTTCGGAAATTAAAATCGAATGAAGGATTAATTTAAAAACAACAATTAACAAATAATTATGTATGTCTATTTTGGAATGTCTAATGATCTAAATATATTCTTTATTGTCATTATGTAAAAGTACCGAACTTTGTGTAGAGTCGCTTCTAAACTGGATGTGAAAAGTTATTTTGACAGAAAATAATTATGTTTTGTCACAGTATAAATATTTATTATTTATAATAATTACTGTTTATAAAAATGGTAAGTAGGTACGTACGTATGTTTTAAATCTGAATATTAATTTCTGATACAGTATCGTATTTATTTACTTTTCTTTATTATACGTATACATAAATCACAAAGATGTATGTATATTTTTACCAAAATGTTATTAATTTATTTCTCATTGATGCATATGCTAATTAATATTAATAAGTGCTCTTATATTGCTAAGGCTTTCTTACGTACACAAACGATTATAATTACAACCTTTGTAAGCATACGTGATGTTCACATTATTCAATAAAAAAATTCATTCACAAGCGACACACGAACATTCTCACAATATTAGCGTAAGAAAATCTAATAAATGATAACAAATATAAATAATATTTATGATTTTTTCTTATACGAGTATCTTGAACTATGAGGAACAACATAGTACTTGCTTCTTACCTTGAAAAAACCATCACAGGGTTCATCAAAAATCCTTCCTTATATAACAAATATAATTATATTCTGTGTCAGTCCGCTATTTAAAAAAGTCTTAATATAAATTAATGCTCGTTTTATTTACATTTTCCTACGATAGCAGTGAATTATAATGACACGGACATAAATATTTAATGCGTCCACAATACATCGTTAACAATTGTAGAACAAAATAACATCTATTGTGACCTATTTTGTGACCCATTTGCATTGAAATATTCATATATATGTTTGTATAGCAATTCTATATCATAGAATATACAGTCTAAACCTGTTAAAATTATCAAGTGGCAGAGGAGACACGCTGGATTGGCTTTAGAAATTTATAGAATTTGTAGAATTGTCATTTAGAATTGATTCATACTAAATTAATTATATGTTTAAATCTCTAATAATTATCCGCACCTATCTAAAAGAAGATTTTAGATAGGTCCGGATTTTTATACATTTTAGGTAGTTGTAAGTAGCTAAATTTACATCTTGGTTTCACCCAAGATGTAAATTTAGCTACCTACATTGATATAACTCATAGTCATATACAGATACCGGCAAACTTCTTGAGCATTAAACAAGGAATGGGGGGAAAGCTTGCGCATCGTACACAAACGCGGGACACAAACGTCAACTGATCGACGTCATCGACGCCAATCACGCGATCGACGTCACTCTCCCGCCGCCGCCCCCCTCCCAGTGATACCTAAAAATCGCTTCTGAGCAGGCAAGGACATTTGTTAAAGATGTCGGTATCTGTACAATGTACATATTACTATATTCCAGTCTTTCTTACAAGAACCCTCGCTTTCACATCGAATATTTCCCTGCAACTTTATTTATACAGAAGCCTATATCGTAAACGTTCATTTATATACTTAACCTTATAAAGAATACACAATATATTTAATATTAATTATATTCTATGGTATACTTATTAAACATCTATATAAGTCTGGAAAAAATATATATTACTATTATCTATCAAATGTCTACAATTTATTATTATTGTTACATCTATCATTTATTGACATTGACGTTTCGTTATCAACAGTGGTTATAATGGCTAAATGGTTAAAGCCAAAACAAATTAATTAAATATAAAGTAAATTAATGGCACTTGCGTCAATTTTACGTAGATCACATATTATTCTAGACAGCACACACGCCAAAAGAACAGTCGCAAATTTGTCGTATAAGATATTCGGGGAGAGCAGCGTAGATCCTGATATTCCACCAATATTTCTATTTCACGGTCTCTTAGGAACGAAAAAGCATTGGGAAAGCTTTGGAAAAACTATGATGAATATGACTCAACGGATTGTGGTGGCTGTCGATTTGAGAAATCACGGTGATAGCCCTCATGTGAACTCCCACAAGTACGAAGATATGGCGGCGGATATCCTAAAGTTGTTTTCGAAACTGGCAATCGAAAAAGCTAGTGTTGTGGGACACGGTATGGGTGGGAGGGCTTCTATGTGTGTTTCTTTGATGGCGGTTAGTTAGGCTTATATTTACACACCTGTCTAATTGATATAGGTTAAATTGTATTAAATGAGACGTCTATATCATACATAATAAATCATTACTTAATATTAGAAAGTATAGTTGTTTCTCAGAGCAGTGTTGGTAATGGTTTCAACGTGCGACTCATCGTTGGGGACGTTCGATTCTCGGATGAGGACCAATGGACTATCTAATATCGCGTCACAAGCTGATACAGAGGAGGAAATCATCGTGAGGAAACCAACATGCCATAGACCCAAATCGATGATCGATGGTTTGTGTCAGGCACAGGTTGATCACGTACTTGCCAATTATAAATGATCACGGAACAGATACAGATTTTATTTTATGATACAGGAGGCAGACGGGCGTGAGCTCACCTGAGTTAAGTGATACCGCCGCCCATGGACACTTGCACTGCCAGAAGACTTTTAACCTATAAAGACCTATGAGTTTGTAGCGCTATTGGAATATGTATATATAGTTTCTCAGGGCACCTTGTGTAATATTTGATTGAATTTTGATAAGAGTCTTGTATTCGTATAAAAGCTTATTTTCCTCAAATTGTAACCTTTCCCTTTCAATTTTTTTAGGTTGTTCAAAAATGGAGTATTTGCTAACATTTTGTTTAAGTCAAAGCACTTTCCTGTTAGGGTAGATTATAGCTTACTGTATTTTTTGTAATTGGGGTGCATGGAGTCTTCGGATTTTTAATGTCAAAGTTGGTCTGAATTTTATCAGTTAAATTTTGGAGGTAACTTTAAAATAGGATTGGTGAGATTTAGCTTCTAGTCTTAAATAAAACTGTTACTGAATTAGACATCAACGTCGACAGATTGAACTCCAGTCTTAATTAGACACCGCTTTTCCGCTATCGTCGCGACTTTCACTGGTGTTAGTTTCATTTTAAATATCCATTTTCCTTACGGTTGAAATGGGCCAATGACATTTATAATTTTTATTGGTTGGCACGACTCCGTTCCTTAAAAGGGCTTTTTACTTTAAAGAGCACAAATAAAAAGGTAATTTTTAACACTATATAAAATTATCAAAACTTATTGGGCGAATATAAGTTACTGTTATAGTTTTTCCCATTCCCCATCACTCATAAAGACCACTCAACGTGAGCTTATCTATTGAAATCTTGATAAATTATATTATTTAGACGTAGTCAATATATAGATATTAATCAATATAGAATGGTTTATTTTTCGATTCCCTGCAGATTTTTAGAAGACAAGACTCAATAGAATAAACTATATAATTTTCAGCCAGAGAAGATATCAGCACTTTTAGTGGTAGACATTTCACCGGTTTCCACTTGTGTTGACCTGAGAGAGAAGTTCCCAAAAATCATGTCCATGATGAAAGAAATCAGTTTTAAAGAGCAAAAGAAGGTTAAGATTGCTCAAAGAGAAGTTAAAAGAAAACTAAAAACGTTGATAACTGATGAGATTTTACTAAAAGCCATTCTATCTAATGTAACAATGAAGTCCACTGGTTTCATCGGCTGGTCATGTAACCTGGATGTATTGATTAAGGAGTTTAAACATATTCTAACATTTCCGCGATTAAAAAACAAGAAATACTACGGGCCTACGTTATTTATTGGCGGCCAGTTGTCTGATTATTTACCGTTAGTATTTATGATTTTTTTAGTATAACCTTTATGTTTACCCACTATTTAAAAGAATGTCTGCTAACTACTGTTCATTATCATTATTCATATGTAGCAACATACGTCACAAAAAAACCAATAGCACTACAACCTTCTAGGTCTGGGCCTCAGATTTCTGTATATGTGTCCCGATCATTTGTATTTCTGATAGGCAAGTAGGCTATTTGGGTCTAAAGCTTGGTTTTCTTACGATGTTTTCCTTTACCGTACGAGTAAAGTTTACAAGTATTAAACGCGCACAGAGACAGAAAGTCCTTTAGCGCATAGATGGGAATCGAACTTACGACCTCAGATATGAGAATCGCTTGCCGGAGCCACTAAGCCAATACTGCATACGTCACTAGAATCATCTTAACAATATCATATATTAGGTAGCTTATAAAATCTAATAAAATACGGACAAATAACTACCTAAACTTACTTAACAAGATCCATTTCAAAATAATTGAGATTTTAATCTAATATAACAAATTATTGGAATTGTATACTAGCAAGGGCCCGAAGGATGTAGAATGTGTGAAGCGTGGATGTAGAGAGCCGAGAGTACAATAACATTTATCGTAATCAACGTATAGGTACTTACATACTTTTATTTGCTCTGAACTTATAATTTTTATAAAGAGTTTTTCGAAGTATATGTCTGTAACTATTCATTGCTATCGATAAAGAGCTTTACTAGCTTAAAAAATTACTGTTCTACTTTTACAGACCAGACGACTTGACAGCTATACGAGATATGTTTCCCCGAGCAGTGATAACCTACATCCCTCATACGGGACACAGTCTCTATGCCGACGATCCGAAGAGTTTTTTAGAAGTGGCTATAGCTTTTCTCAAAACGCATGACTAATAACACTTTTAACTATCAGTTGATATTTATATTAATTTTGAATAAATTGATTACCTTATCACCTCATATTGAAGTGTGAGACCTAGTTATTTCGCAAGCCATGGCTGAGAATTCTTGATTCAAAAAATTCATTGGAATGTCGCTAATCTGTTTTTGATATTCTATGGTTTCACTGTTTTTAATCGTACAACTACAACAAGAAATACAGATATTTGGTATTTTAAAATACCACAGACCTTAATGTTTCCTCTAAGCTTGTCTGTTACTCTATCTGCCGCAACGTGACGTAGTTCAACAGGGATTATGATATTTTAAAGTTTCAAATGTTTTCTGTCGCAAAAATCGACATGGAATGTCATATTTAACTAAAATTATAACCAATTTGCCCTATAAACATTCATTTTACAATTATGTTCATTCAAGAACTGCCGTTGACCTGGTGTATAAAGTTCACGGAAACGAAAATTACAATAACGCACCGGTAATCGTTATTCATGGATTGTTAGGAATGAAAAAGAATTGGGAAAGTGTTTCTAAAAAGATCAATGAAAATACAAGTAAAACTGTTATTACGGTTGATGTAAGGAATCACGGAGAGAGTCCACATACTTCCTCGCATACGTATCACGAACTAGCGTCGGATATATCCCAACTTATAAGTAAATTATCGCTGAAAACTTCGCACATCATCGGTCATAGCATGGGCGGAAGAACTGGTATGGTTTTAGCCTTGACCGAGGTAACAACTCCAATCCGTGAACTTTTACTTTTTTTAACATCTGTTATAGTTAAAATTAAGGTCAAGAGGTAACTTCCTCTTTTGGTAGCTTTGATTGATAAGACAATGAATACCTAATTATTAGTCATACATTAATTGAATGTGAAATAAAAATTATTAGAATTTTGTTACCATTTAGGACGTACCGTAACCGTTACCGAGTTATAAGCGAACGGAATCTCTTTGATTCCGATAGTTTAAATTAGCTCTTTGTCACGTTTATGACTTAAAGAGCCTCAAATGACATTGGCCAAAGAAGTTAAAGATATATTCCCGTACATTAATTTTTAAATATTATTATTCTATTCTCGGTTGGTATTCTCGTACGTTGTAAGCAAAATTACTCATAAAAGCAGTAGTATATTTCAAACCTCTTACTCTCACATATATTCAGAAAGTAAACATTATATAATTTCCGTATACTTAACCCGTAATTCTTTCAAATTAGTAATTATAAATGGGAAAAATACTATAATGATTTGCCATCCATTTTGTTATTTCTAACTTCTACTCTTCTAATGTTAGAAAATTTACATGGCATTACATACTCGTACTTTTGTCCCGCCGAGGATTAGAATATCGGGATCTCATTACCGGTAGTTAGCATAATAAAGACTAATCGTAGACACTAACGAAAAATAGTGTTAGATTGAACTTAACCTAATAATAAAACGCAGAAACATCGCATGAAGAACGTGGTGACATAATATATATCTACAGCAAAGTTTATTTACGTATTTGAAATTTCAGCCCTCAAAAATAGAAAGTTTAATAGTTGTCGACATATCTCCTGTGTCAACCGCTGGTATACTGAACGATTTCTTTCCCAAATTAATAAAGGCGATGAGAAGTACGAATTTCGAAGGAGCTGACCATATCAGCAAGGCGAGGAGTATAGCGAGAGATCATCTCGCATCGACGGGTGTTGTCAAACCCGAGTCTAGTGGATTTATTCTCATGAATATTGGTCCCGTTAAAGGTGGATCGTATGGCTGGATATGTAACTTGGACACACTAATAAAACATTTTACTGATATAGCAACATTTCCGAGCAATCTCAATGGGAAACAGTATTCTGGTAAAACTTTATTCATCGGTGGAGATAAATCTAATTATATTCCGTAAGTGAAAATTGTACTTCTACGTTAATTTTATAGTATAGGTAAAAAACGATGAATCATGTAATATTGTCGTTAATAATGAGGGAGTGAAATTTTTCATAATAATAATAAAGATTGTTTTATTTACGTGAGTAACATATATTTTATATTATAATAGCTTTTAGATCAATATACAAAACGCACACGCATCTACAATTATTTATTTCAAATATACAAATATGCCCCTTATTATAGAAATATAAAATGTCAACTATCATTTTGTATCTTTAGCGTACTCATACGGGGCACGTATGAATAAAAACGAAAATTCAGATGGAAAAAAATTACATTCGTACTACTCCAATGACTTTAAACATGAGAGATTTTCAAATTCCAAAGTCAAGTTCTTTCCAAAATAAAGAAACAGAAATATTAATGAAGGGTATGTACCTACTTTGAACTTATTTCAGACCAGAAGATTTAAATGGGATAAAGAAATATTTTCCGAAAGCCGAACTGGAGTATGTGAAAGGGGTAGGACATAACGTACACGCTGAAGATCCAAGTACTTTTTTGAAAATTGTGACTAAATTTCTTACATAAAATCATTTTTCCTCTTTTTAGTTATTTTTATAGACTTGCAAATACAGCAGTTATATTTGCAATACTATCTAAACTCTTTTGCAAAAAAACAAACTTGTCGATTTATCAGTTAAATCAGAAAGTGATATTTAATGTAAAAAGAAAGATCTCAATCGTTATTAGGTTTTTACAATAGTAAAACAACAAGTAATAAAAACTTTATAGGTGTCAAGGGACACCCGGATGGAACGAAATTCCTTTCGATTAATTTATATGTTAATTGGTATCATAACAGTATGATAGATTTTCTCGACACCAATCTTACGACGAAAAAAAAAAGCCAACATCACGAGGTGTTCCCAGGCGGTCACCCATCCAAGTACTGACCTCGCCCGACGTTGCTTAACTTCGGTGATCGGACGAGAACCGGTGTATTACAATAGCAAATAGCAAAAAAGTGTCGTGACAACTTTTCGTAAGAATTTTTTCCGTCTAGCCCCCCTTTCACAACGCGCGATAAGGAACTTCGTTCCAAAATATTCTTGTCTTTATTGCCGACCGCTACTTATTGTTGGCCATGTACATCGGTTTTAAAGAATTCATCAAAAATTATATATACATATATCAAAATGAATTCATCAAAAATATATATGGGTGTATAACAGTAACCTTGACTTAACAGAGCCGAAACCAGGTTCGAGTTCGATTTCCAGGATTCTCAAGAACATACTGATTAAACCTACACCTTAAATTAAATATAATTAAAACAGACGCAGTGATGTGTAGTGTGTACTCTCCAATTTGCTTATGGAGATTACAAGACACATACAGTATGTGTATACTAGATTAATAAAAACAATATTTCATAGTTCATATATCTCGATACTAAGCCGCCTGCCGCCTGCGAATAAAGATTTGCAATAAACACGACTCACTGAAATGACACAAATGACAATGTGCACGGCACATTTTAAGGCTTTATGTTATATAATATATTTGCGATTTCTCCGGATTTTAACAGATAAATATTATTTAAAATAAGACATATTATGATTGAATCAGATTTTTGAAGGGGAAACAAAAATAGTGACATATGAGATAACTTAATGTCATTTAAAAACGTCACTAAACTTAGTAACCTTCAAAATTTCTAGGTATTCAAAACAAAAATGTTATTTAATAAGTTTCGGCTTCAAAATTTATTTCGAATATGTCCCAACACATTTTCCACGTCCCCTAGGTGCTTAAAATCTGATTCTAGCAATGCAGAATCTGTAGAATTGGCCTACTCCTCATACGAGAGCACCGATACCGATACGTCGAAACGACCGCCTCTAGTCATCTTACATGGACTGTTAGGTTCAAAAAATAACTGGAACAGTATGAGTAAAGCTATTCACAAAGCCACAGGAAGGAAGATAATCAGTGTGGATGCTCGTAATCATGGCGACAGTAGGCATTCTTCGCAGCATACCTACATTCATATGGCCCACGACGTGATAAAATTGTTAAAGAAACTGGAAATATCAAAAGTATCTATCCTTGGACATAGCATGGGCGGACGCACTGCAATGGTTCTGTCACTACTTTGTGTAAGTTGTACGTAGTATCTCATATCCTTACTCTTAATCCATATAATTTAAGTACAGTTTCTTAACAACATGTTTTATCCTTAAATGATCTTTAGTATGTAGCTGAATGCTTTTAACTTGACTACTAGCATATTATTGATTTAATCATTACAATTATGTTTTAGTCGGATCTCATATCAAGTTTGATTGTGGTTGACATATCTCCAGTAAAAACAAGTCCACAAATCTTCAGTATGATGAATCTCTTTGATGCCATGACATCGGTCTCAATAAGAAGTGGTATTGCAATGTCTAAAGCAAGGAAATTAGCTGATGAACAATTGAAAAATATCTCACCTGACGTCAATCTTAGAAATTTTTTAATAACAAATCTGGTTCAAACTAATACAGGATCCTATACTTGGAGAGTTAATTTGCCAGCATTAAAAGAAAACTTTCAAAACCATATATCAAATTTCCCTTCCTCTCTTAAAGGTCTGCAATATTGTGGACCAAGTTTGTTTATTGGAGGCTCCCTATCTGATTACATTGGGTAAGCGTTTAATATGCTATATTGTATTTACTATGCCTTAATACATAAGTAATTGATTACAAGCTGATTTTTTTTTTTTTAATTTTCTGTTTCTTTTCTGTTATTGGGTCTATAAATTTTTGAGTGTTTAGAAAGATATACAATATGTTAAATTGATTAGTAACATAATACAAGAATAACAGTATGGGTTTTTATTTGCAGGAAGAATGATTTGCCAGAAATTCAAGAATATTTTCCACTAGCAGAACTAGTATTTATTGATGGTGCAGGACATTGGGTACATAGCCAAAAACCAGAGAAATTTCTAGAAAATGTTTGCAAATTTTTAGGAGAAAAATAATGTGTTCAAACATCTAATTAATATTATAAATCTTAGTCAAATGTACAAATATCTGTTAATAGTTTACCATAAGTAGAATAATATGTTATTATTTGATTTGTTGCTTTTAGTTTATCTATTGGATGTGGTTACACAAATTGTCTTACAGGAAATAACACACATGTTATCAGTAAGTTCTCAAACACAACATATGATTTAAAATATGTCTGAAGTACATGAATAAAACAAGTTTTACAATATCTTTAGTATTACCCCAATTTTATTTTTAAATTTAAGATGATATTTCTCTTTGCAACATAACATGCTTCATCAAGTGGGATATATTTTGATATAAACTGAACCTAAAGAGATACTTTTCCCTGTTCTACAAAGCTTCGCTAATACTCAAACTCGTCGCCGTCAACTACTATTGTAAATGCAAAATGAGCTTTGTGTTAATTAATGCTTCGTTCGTTATGCACTAACTTTAACAATTAGACAGCAATACGTCATATATTCAAATAATGTATAAAAACTAAAAACATCTTTAAGAGATCAAAATTTACTTGTTTTAAAATCTTCCTGTACTATTACTTATACTATTTAAATTGATATCAGTGAATATATTTCATAGCGAAAGCATTTGAAAGAAATTTGGTACTCTAATCAAGAATGGCTGGTAATCTTATTGTGTATCTACAATCTCAATTCTTAATCTTCCCCGAAAAGCCTCGCCGAAACCACATTATGGCGCATGCAAACTTATGAGTCGAAAATTATCCACATTTGGTTATTAAACCAAATAAATTATTGAAAGAGTTTTGCACTCGGAATATTGTAAGTTGCACTCGGTACTACAATAATTTTACTATAAAACTGGGAGGAATTTTGGTTTACGACATTCTCACTTCACATTTACTGTGAAGTGGATTAATTAGTTTCAATATAAAGTGATAATAGTAGGCACAAAATGGCAAGTGTAGTAAAAGGGCTGTCTTTGCTCTTCGATAGGCCCAATGAGCCTATGGTGTCACCGAAAGGGGACGATAATGCCATTTTTCAAATTTCCGAACAGTTCTTGGTAAGTAATTATCTTTTAAATGGTACATAAGATACATTCAGTAGTATGTACTTGATATAGCAACAAAAAAGCAGGTAATTAGGAACTAGCAAACATTACCATAATTTATTATTTTTCGTAGAATGTAATATTTAGTAAAAATAAATTATTACGCCACATATTATGTATTTTGTTACTTAAAAATTTTACGTATAATGCAATGCATGTTTAGAGTTTACATTCCTATTTGTAAAACTATATTTTTTTTAATATTTGTTTTTATGTTCCCTCTAGACTGACGACTACAAAAACAACGGTATTGAAATTAACAACCGTTATGGGGAAAATGCATCAGAAATAATTCCTCTAGAGAATTTACGTCGAGTGCCCAAGTTTTCGAAAGCAAAGCGCTTACCAAAGGATTCAGACTTCTCATTGTTCTTGCCAGCCCACAGGGAAATGGCAGATGAAGTCGTTGATGAACTTATGGGTATGTCTTGCTTGCCTTATATCTTATTAAATCTGATAAGTTAAATTTAGGTACTCGTGTAAACAAGTATGAAAGTAATTAACAATTAATTAATCATCATTAAGTCATTAATTCTTTCTTTCTGTTTTGTTTTAATAAATAAATGAGGCTCGTTGCTAAGCCAACCGAAACATTTATTGTTACCCCAGGACGAGTCCAAGACCTCTAGGTTATATGCTAAGCGCGTTAATCACTAACCCCGTAGTTGCTTTTATAATTTTTCTTTAGTACCTTTATAGATTTTTTTAAATATTTGTACTTGATAGATTAAATAAAATGTTATTTAGATGGTATTTATATTATTCAAATGACTACCAAAATGCCCAGAAATAAAAACATATCTTGCAAAAGTCAGTAATTTAATTGATAAACTTTTTACAGGTGTTCCTGAAAATCAATTGCAGCAGTTCCTATCTACATGTACATACGCCCGTGTTAATCTCAACCCTCAACTCTTCAACTATTGTTACAGTGTTGCGTTAATGCATAGGTAATATATATAAAAAATATTTTTATTCTGGTGTAATTAAATGTTATTAAATAAAAAATCTTCTCTCAGGCGTGACACCAGAAATGTTCCCATTGCAAACTTTGCAGAGACATTCCCTTCAAAATTTGTGGATTCTCAAGTTTTTTCTCAAGCCCGTGAGACAGCTGCGGTTGCTGCTCAAGGAGCACCGGTAAGTTATTTTTCCTTGCCACCGCAGCAATTATCACACTTTTTATCAGTACCTGAACAAAAGACAGGTTTATAGTTAGGTGTCCAAGGTCCAAGACTATCATTTGAATAAAAATCCATTGGGTATGTTCCATCTTCTTTCAGCCACTTACTGTTACCTAATGAAACAGAAAACTCATATGGTGTTAAAAGTGGCTGAGGAAATGCAGTTCCCCAATCGATAGACAGCCTAGGGCAAGCAACTTGTACAAAAGCATCTAAGCCAAATAATGCAAGTTTGCTGGGAAATACTTCAGACAGCAGAATCTTAACATAATGTTTATTGCAATTGGAGATTTGCTTTTCAAGATTATTTAGGACTTTTGTACTTCCTTGTCTCCCCAGTGTTCCTAGAATAAGACCAAAAGAATTTGCATCTGATGCTAATTTTATTTGATTACTTCTGTTCATTTTCATTATGTCATGGTCGTAATCTTCTAAAGTGAATTTCTTTTCATAAGGATCATATTTATATGCTGGAATTGTGGGATTTGCTATCATAATTGCTTCTAAATGAAATCTACCATCTCCGAGATAAACTATGCAATCAGCATTCAGCTTAGGGGCTGTACAACCAAGGATTTCACCTGGAGATAAGGGTTTACTTTGTGGCACTGTCACAATATAATCATCATTTCTTAGATCCTTGGTAACTGAATGGAGAGTTGTGACAAATTGAATTGTACTAACTATTGCTAAATGTGTTTTTTTAGGAAAGTTTAGTCTAATTGTTTCTAAAAAATGTGATGGATCTATTTTTATATCTACAAATATGTAGAGAACTTTTATACTGCTAGTTTGATCTATTGGTATAAGACATGAGTGACCATAATGCACTAAAAGTTCAACACCAAGAGCGATCGCAGTAAAATCGTCTATACAGCAGGCTCCATATGTAACATCACCCATTATTACAGTATCTGCCTCCGTAAATGTTTCTATAATGTCGCATAATGTCGTCGCAAACATAGTTAACCCTGAAATAAGCAATACACAATTACTATCTCATTTACTCACGGATATTATTTACGACAAAATTATGTCATATTTTGTGGTATTTACCTTCTGGTAACTGAAGAGCTACCCTTTTTGATCCTAACGAACGAATTCTCCATATCGTTTTATGAATTTCAAAATTGTAATTGTTAGGCAAAGCTTCACAGGCTCGATTTATTAGTGGATCCTTTAACAAATCATCTGGTATTCTGTTTACTGATCTTATATTGGGTTTAAAAGTTTTTCTTTGTCCTTCTGGCTTTGCACGCACTACAACAACTGAAGAATCTGATACCAAGCCTGCCATGTCTTATAATTTCTTTTTCATATTAAAATTTTCGTTTTACCTCAGTATTAACCAGGTTACTTTCATAAAAAATGTAAACACGCGCGCTTCAAGCAGTGGCCTACGTGACTTCTTGCAAAAACGTTCCGTTTTCTAAATTTTATATAATAATTGGACTATTGCCATAGTCGCATAAAAATCAACCAACTAATTAACAATTTTTTATAGTAAAAATAAGTCAATAAGGAAATGAAATTACATTAATAGTAAATAATATTTATGGACAACTAAATATTAAATTATATTTTAGTACATACGTCAAATGAAACGAAGTTTGGCAGTGTCCCAGTGAAATGAAACGTCAATGTCTAAAATTAATTCCCTTCTACGCATAATGTTTGGTCTAATTAATTTCAAAATAGGTTTAAATTTATAATATTTTGGATACCTATAAGGTATTGTTAAATTTTTCAACATTTGGATTTAGAACGAAATACATATATGTTATTTTTCTGAAACTTTTAGCGCACTCCAATAATTATACCAAGAGATTACACAGCAACAGACTTGGATGTGGAACATCGTTTAGCGTACTTCCGTGAAGATATTGGTGTTAACCTACACCACTGGCATTGGCATCTCGTCTACCCATTTACTGCCAACCAGAGAGAAATTGTTGCTAAGGACAGACGTGGAGAACTGTTTTTCTACATGCACCAGCAAATTATTGCCAGGTTAGCAAAAACAAAAAATAAATAGTATGTTTGTATTTATATGAATAGAATAACAGTTTACTATAAACTTACGAGATTAAACTTTGACACGTATTATAAAATTATTCTAAAAATGAAACGAATTTTTTTGAAACTTTTATGATCTTTGTTGTATTGCAGTATTCGCATTCAACTTAGGCATGTTTTATAGCGTAAAACATACCTAAGTTTAATGCGTTAAACGCAAATAAGTTAAACGCTCTAGCCTTCACTCCAGCTAATGTAAACATAACTTAACAGAGTTCGTAAGAACTTCTCAAAAATTATTTTCAATTCTTCAATTTGGTAATAAAATATGAATCTTTGAATTTTTGCCTTGCCTCCGTCCCGCGTTCTTATTTACGTCAATTAAGGCGATATTTCTTTGTTTTCAGATGAATATTATTAAGTTTGTTCAAATTTATATTCGAAATAATAAATTGCTTAAATTAAATTATGTTTCAGGTACAATGGCGAGCGACTTAATAATTCTTTACCCAGAGTCAAAAAGTTCAATAACTTCAATGAGCCAATATCGGAAGCGTACTTCCCAAAACTTGACAGTCTTACATCGTCCCGGGGTTGGCCTCCACGACAGGCCAATATGCAATGGCAGGACTTGAATAGACCAGTTGATGGTCTTAACGTGACTATCGCGGATATGCAACGCTGGAGGCGGAACATCGAAGATGCTATTGCCACAGGATTGGTGCAATTGGTATGTTTTTGCGAGGACTTTTGATATCATAAAGCTGATGCCTTGTACAATTATTACAAAAAAGAAATATCACTTTATATTCGATTTTGATGGCTGCTCTTTTTCATATTATTTGGAAAAAATAAATTAATAAATTCATCGAGAAAGAAAATTATAATATAACAGTTTAAAATATACTTATATAGATAACTAAAATGTTGAAAATAATAGACGTGGAATTTTTAACTTAAAAACTTTATAAATGCGATATTTTTTAGAATTGTATAATATTTAACTGTAACGATCTAGTAAGCTCCAAGCATTTGTGCTAAATTTCGTTAGTATAAACAGTATGTTTGTCCACTAATTCCTCGGAAATCGGATGATCGTTGATGTAAATCAGGTATATTCCTAGTTATGATACAGTCCAATTAAATTTTTTTTATTCTATAGAGTCAAAATTTCATCAAAATCGGTTCAATAGTTTTTGAGATATCGAGGCATTTCTGTAGCGGACATGTAGTATATGAGATGAGATGCGATATGTGTGATTAATGTTAAAGTATTTTCTTAATTAACTTTTTTTTTCCACCTTAGCATGTTTAATTAAAACGCTGAATCTCTTATAGCCCAACGGCTCAACCCGCGCACTGGACATAGACACTCTCGGCAATATGGTAGAAGCAAGTGTACTGTCTCCTAATATGGACCTCTATGGCAGTTTGCATAACAACGGACACAGCTTCTCCGCGTACATGCATGACCCAACACACAGATATCTGGTAAGATCGTAATATTATGTTAATATAAGTTTATACTGTTAAAAATTACTTTTAACTACCTATAACTAATCTTCCTTTCCCTATTCTTGTAGTACTAAGCTATCTTGGAAAACATATGCTTTATTAATGGTTTATCTCTAAATCACGGGACGGACGTAAAATCGTTACCGATTTTCCCTTAATATCCATTACTTATGCTATTTGATATAGTATAAATAGATGTCGCCAGGAAACTCAATAAAAATTTAACTTTATAAAGGATCCTAAATTTTGCCGTCAATTTAATCCAGGAATCGTTTGGCGTGATAGGCGATGAGGCAACAACTATGCGTGATCCATTCTTCTTCCGCTGGCACGCCTTTATTGACGACCTTTTCCAGAAATACAAGGAATCCGCTAATGTACGCCCATACACACGCTCCGAGGTATGTTATGTTATACATTATCTTATTTAAAAGCCAGCTTCAAATAGATGTTTTGTATTCCAGTTTATATAATATATTTTTTACCTATGTATTTTCCTTAAGGCTTACGACGATTTTACGCAAATTTCATGTATTCATACAAAATCGAGTAATATATTTATTTATTTACACTTTGTTGCTTTATGATATAAAAATTTAACATAATTACATCTAAAGGAAAGGCAACTGGCGGCCTTATCGCTTTCGAGCGATCTCTTCCAGGCAACCACAGTTCTTTCAGAAACTTTCATTTAATTTATATGATAAAATAATAAATAAATTTTTCCACGGCACTCTTTCATAATAAGTTGCTTCACAAATGAATTTAATTTATAATAGAATTTATCATACTAGAACTAAAAAAACATACAGTACCAAGTCGCAACGTGCTTTATAAAGAGATACTCGGCTAGCTTATGGCTGTACAGGATTTCTACCCGCTTAGTAATAAAGTTGTTTTCCTGAAATTATTAATAAAAATAACACTTAATTTTACAGCTACTTTATGGGTTAAAATTTCTAAACTGTAGAATATTTCAAATATTTTCAGTTGGAAAACCCAGGCGTGAGAGTAACATCTGCACGTATTGATAGCTCGGATGGGGCAACCAACGAGCTGCATACATTTTGGATGTCAAGCGATGTTGACCTTTCTCGTGGCCTTGACTTCTCGAACAGAGGTCCCGTGTATGCCCGCTTCACTCATTTGAACCATCGCGATTTCCAATATACGTACGTATTAAAACCTTAGTGTTTTTTTTAAAGGTCATAAAATACCAAAGACAATTTACTTTAATTGTCTTTGATAATACAATATGCGAAAGCCAATAGCAGTTTTAATCTAAAACTATATCGACATAATAATATAATAAAATGGGACTCAATAAAAACTGAATATTTAAATGATTTCAATAGAATTTTTTTATTATGATTTTCGGTAGCTGCAGTATCTTACAATCAATCATACGATCATATAATCAAACATACGTATGTCCAAATCCGTTTTTGATGTACCTACTGAGGTCAGACATAGCGGTAACTTTTGTTTCTGCATTTTACCCTTTTTTATACTGTAAAATATATATTCGCAGAATTGAGGTGGAAAATAACAGCAACGCCTCGCGTGGTACTGTCCGTATCTTTATTTCGCCGACCAACGATGAACGTCAGCTTAGCTGGGCGCTCTCTGACCAGCGCAAGATGTTCATAGAGATGGACAGATTTGTTGTGCCGTGTGAGTTTTTCCATCTAATTTAGGAACTCTAATGTATACTATTTTTAACTTAAAATTATATCAATTTTGAAGGCAAAACCTCAATGGATATATTCGGTTATTATTTATTTAATTCCATTATATTGAATGCTATAAGATTTTTAGTCTTGCTGACCACGCTGCGACATGGTTAGCGAGTTAAGTAATGCTCAAATAGTTGTTAAATTTTGCTTTTTCGGTCTAATTCATAATTGCCAAATCTAAAAAATATTTATTCACATTGTGGACGAGACCAGGAGACGTTTAATAAGTATTTGGCTATGTTTAGCACGCATAATAATTATATTTGAAAATTGCAGTGAACCGCGGCCGTAATGTCATAACCCGCCGTTCATCTGAGTCGACCGTTACCATTCCATTCGAGCAGACGTTCCGTGACCTCGGTGCTCAGGGTTCAAATCCTAGGAACACAGATCTCGCGTCATTCAACTACTGCGGTTGCGGCTGGCCCCAACACATGTTGGTGCCAAAGGGAACCGAGAGTGGCACACCATATCAATTGTTCGTTATGGTTTCCAACTATGAACTGGATTCGGTAAGATCTTATTTAGTGCAGATGACTTATTAATATTTTTAGCATAATAGAGAAATTTTGCATATATACATTAAGATCTAGAACTTTTGATGTCTAGGAGCGTTAACTTATTAATACTGAACCAGCAAATAACTAAATGTAATTTTATATATTTTAGTATTAAAAACTATATTTGCAACTTGATCTGCGTTACGCAAAAGTAGTGCTTCGTCTTCGTGAACTCACCCACGTATTTATTCTATAATTCACTTAATGATATTTACCAGGTGACCCAAGAAGATGGTTCAGAAATGTCATGCAAACAAGCTTCAAGCTTCTGCGGTATTAGAGACAAGTTATACCCAGACAAACGAGCTATGGGATATCCCTTCGACCGGCCATCCAGCTCTGCCACCAATATCCAGGACTTTATTCTCCCCAACATGTTGCTTACCAACATCTCCATCAAACTGCAGAACACTACTGAACAAAATCCACGTAACCCTACCATTTAAATTTTGAAAATAAGATATTCCAATTGATGCATGTGCTCATAAAACTAAATTTAACTTGCTTTGTTGGTTTCAAATATAATAGATACCTTGATCATTAGTAACTACAAAAATGAAAGGCTGAATAAGTTAATCTTGTAAATATTGTACATAATTTATATTAAGATATAATAGTGGCCCTTTATAGATAATAATAAAAAGCATATAGATAATGTTGAAATTTTATTTTTACGTATCTAACACAAGCATTCTTTTCATTCTACTACACTTGTTATTCAGGAGTGCAGCTAGTTCCCATTAGTTTTCTGTAATAAAATAATTATTTGTTTCAACAATCTAGATGACATAATTTTTTAAAGGCAACACAGCTTTATAATGTTTTACTAAGCTAGAAATTTAATAAGGGTTATTTTACTGTAGTGATGTATACCTAACAATATAAAAGAATTAAATGTATTACTTTAATACCTCTTCCATATGCAACTTATGTTTAAATGCATAATTTTTCTGCATGAATATGGGACCAATTGTTTCGGTCCTCAGCTGTGCTGTCTGGTTTAGGTTACCTATAAAAAATATAAAATCTTAATGCCACATAACATAAAGAAGCTGATAACAGATCAAGACCAAATAATCAGACCTATCATTAAATTTCACATTGTTATCATATAAACACATTTTCGGCTCGTGTATGTTGTCATCATATTAAAAATCGACATTGATTGACTATTAATGTATTAAATACATACCCGTATTTTTTTAATTAGAAGTCATAAGTTTATGGAGGCATTTGTCACTGCTTGTTATTAAAACACATTAGTTTTCAGCCTAATAATTCCTTTCAAGACCAGTCCCTCCATGATCTATAAATAATTTAATACAATTTTTAAGTATTGGGTTTGCGTGTCGCTTAAACATATAGGTATACTTGGTAACTCATTGCATATTCAGACCTATCATTTAATATCACGTGTTTCTCATATTAACACATATTCGGCTCGTGTCTTTTGTCATCATTATTACGTAGCATTAAATCAGCACGGTATTTCTTTTCGATACCAATATAAATAAAATGGTAAGTAGGTAACCTACCACTAGTAACTAGGAAAAAGCTCAGCTGAACGAAAAGGTTATAATATTTAAAATAACTGAAATTACTATGACGATAGTTACAACGTTCCAACTTATGTAAATCGACAGTATTTAAAATAAACTATACATAAATAATTGAAATTTAAAAGCAATGTTGGTGATACCACGTGTTGGTTTTACTCACCCATCCAAATTATGAACTTTGAGGTTATATGGTTTTAATACGTACCTTTGTAAGCATTTCTCAAAAGTAATCTTCAACGTAAAACGTTCATCTTATATTAAAATTAAGAATAGTTATTATAGACATTGTGAAAATTAATTTCTAAATAACTATACTCTGAAGCGTTCTACGACTCCTGGGCAGTGGGCACAGGCACACACCACACCGTACAAGTAACAAATGTGAAATGACAACTGTGATTTCAGTGAATTCAATTGTGAAATGACATGACTGATCACTGATGACAAGAACATGATGACATCGGTGATCGCCGATCGGTGCCCCGTCCCAGTGATGCCAACTCCTACAGGCTATAGAATGTTCCTTCGAACCAGCTGCAATTACCCCTAAAATCTAAATATCGATCATACCCCCATAAAGTTTTGGTTGTAAACTCGGTGCGAGAGACAACAAATATGAATTGATTCAATTATCAATTCATATTGAATTTCAATACATTCAAGTAGTATGAAATAGCTGCTATTTGGACGTTGGAGTATTATAGTGCGTTTTCCAATTACAGCACTAGAGCGCATTATGCGGCATAATGCTCAACTTTGCATGTTCCAACTACAGCAACGCTTCGCACAATTGAGCACTCTCAAAAGTAATGCTCTCGCGTGCTTCTCGCAATCAATACCAACACAGTGACAGAAAATTGACCAGTGTTTTTCTTTAAGTTCGCATTGATCGAAATTTTCGTTAGTAAATATTATTTATTGTTGAAAAATTTGTAAGGCTTTCGTTTCGTCGTAGATTTTGAAAATAATTAAAGTTATTTCAAACTGCTAAAAAAAAATATAAGTATGGATGAAGGTATAAATAGTAACTTTTTTTATATTCCACATTTAAAATATGAATACAATTTCATTTTAAAATTCGGATCTGTAAACAAATTTATTTTACAGGATTATACTTTTGTAAACATTGCAATGGTTTTGAATAAGTATATAATTTTTACGTTACGTTTAAACGTAAATGATGTAAACTTCTTACATGAAACTAAATATTTTACTGTTAATTTAGCTTGTTAAATCCTTATATTCTTTAAAGGTTTTCTCTTATTTCAGTAAAAAAATGTTAATGAAATAATCAAAATGCAAATTACTTTAAATAGTTTTCAACCAATTATTATTGTTTACCACATTATTTATACATTAATGAGGTTGCTAACTCTATTCAGAACATTTTTTTTTTTGACACTGACTTAACGCACTCTGCTGATGCATTTGAAAACTAATTCACGTTCCAATAAGGCTTCAGCATAATGCGGCATTGTGCGGCACTGAGTCGCATTATGCTCTGTTATTGGAAAACGCACATTGCTATTTGATATTTCTGTTAAGAACACCCACGCTTGGAGTTTATATTTGATTAAGTTTGTTGGTTGCAGTGGCGTAACTGGGGCCCGCGGCAAATTCTTTTGATGGGGCCGTATCAGTAAAAATCGTCACGTTGTACTCAGTTTAATTTGAATAAACTTCGAGATTTTCAGCGTTCTCAATTACACGTTGTATATGTCCCACTAATGGCCAAAGGCCTCCTCTCTTAGGCGAGAGGGTATGGTCTGTAGTCCCCAGTCCACGCTAGCCCAATGCGTATTGGAGACTTCACATTCATCCATAGAACATAATATTTCTTGGGCAGGTGTTGAGGGCCCGTGGCATTTTGCCAGCCCTGCCACCCTATTGTTACGCCACTGGTTGGCAGAGTTCTAGGCTTAATATAAACTGTATTTTTATTGTATATGAAGAATTGTGAATAAAGTAGTCCATAAAAAAAGTGCGTTCGTACAAATTTACACATGTCAGAAGTGAAATTTCTTTGGCAAACTAATTTTTAACTCTTGTTCATATTTATACAAATCTAAAACCTTAGATTTCCGAGACTTATAGGGAGGGAAAAAGGAAGTTATGTTAGGAATTTAATAGGGATGTGAAAAAATAATCGATTATTAAAAAAATCGATTTTTTAAGCCATTTTTATATTTAAAATAATCGATCATTTTTATAATTGAAAATCAATCATAGTCGATTTTTCATCTGCCACCTCCCGACATTATGTCTGGTCATTTATAACCCGGACCTCGAACTATTAGGGATATTCGATATATGTACATCGATGTTTATAATGCGATACATTGAATCCGATTCTTTGAAGATGTATTGATATACTCGATGCATTGATGTTTTTTTGTAAAACATCGAAAGGATGAGAAAACCGGTTAATTTTCCAAAACTCAAGTTTGAATGGAACACTTTAATAAAAAGTAAAATAAATTTATTCAGCAGCACAAGATTACATACATTTAAAAAGACAACAAAAATACTGCAATTTGCTACTGAAAAGGCATACACTCAGCATTTATCAAATTTTACCTAAAATCTATCAAAACGAGATTAAGTTAATTTCGATTATTCTTAAACGTTAATTTGTGTTTATAATTTCTATTGTTTATTTTTAATTTAAAAAACCATGAAAAATAAAATATTTAGGGTGTTTATTTTGAAATTAATGCAAAAATTAGAAAAAAATCGATTATTTATTAATAGATTTTTCATGCTAAAAAAAATCGATTTTTATGCAGAATTTAATGAATTTAAATTGAGGAAATAATTGTCATTAAAAAAATAAAAGTGTCGAAAATTAATACAAATAATAAATTTAATTTTATTCGATAATAAAAACACGTGACATTTTAATTTACAATTCGTCATTTGAGATTTCAATAAATTATTTTGCATAAAATATAAATATTTCATAAATTCTAATTCACCCGTCTCATTCTCTCTTCTTCGACAAAAACGATGCACATTTTCACTTCAAAAATATCACCTGGACATCTTGATTCTTCCTAAATTTGGGGACAAACGTAATAAGGAAAGCATTATATAATATATATATATTATATTAATCGATTGTTTTATTATAATGAATTTTTAATAATCGATTCTCTAAATATTAAATATTTTATTACTCTCTACCTTTTTTTTAAGAAAAATATAAATATACTTTGTTGGATTAATCCAATTATTGGCTACAACTACAAATTTCAATCGAATTTTGCAAACAGCGCCATCTTTGCGATCAATAAAAAACGCGTGATCACCAAACGTAAAAAAGAAATGTTTCAGTCGAAAAATGAAAAATTTAATATCTACAAAGAAATGCCAAATTTTTGAATTGTAGACACATTACTGTCAGGTAGGTATCTCAAAGTTCATACTATGATCGAGATCCGAGCTTAAATGTGTGGAATGAACTATGAAGTGAAATCTGAAGTAGGCAAAAATACCACCACTAGACATTGGAGTAAGATCTGAAGAAATCTAATACATAGGTATATAATATAGTTTACGCCATATAAATCCAAACGGGATATGATTTAAGATGTATAGATAGATATAGATGTTAGATAAATCATTTCATATTGTTAAGAGTACGCAAAAAGCCATGCTGTATTACAATAATTATGATAACATTATTTATAATTCCATAATAATTAGGTATAGGTAGAAACCATTCTTCGAATTAAACTTATATAAAAATCATTGAAGAAACACAGTTTCAGATATAGCATACTAGTTTTTATTGCACTAACTTCTGTTGGAAGGTCATGGTGCTGTCCACATACAATTGTCTATGATACACTGCATTTAAATTTGGAATATCTTTATTTTATTTTTAGATGTACGGTGTCATTTAATTCAGTTCATATATTTTCTCTTACAAGTAAACACAATGTTTTACAATTTATTTTGCATTTTTAATTATTGCTTTAGCCACTAGTCCACCCTATCAGTGGTAGCAGAGCGTGGTTGGATAAATATGTTGGATAAATATATCGGGATATATATCTAGTGGAAAATGAAAGAAGCATATTTTAAAATAATAAGTAAATGAGAAAATACAAATTTTAAAATGAGCTCGAGTATCAGAAGCATAGAACCGTTAAAAAAATCGAATTACGATACCTGGTGCTTACAAGCACAGGCGATTCTCATAAGAGACGATTTGTGGGAATACGCTAATGGTAAAAAAAACGTTAACGGCAACTGCGACTGCCGAAGAAAAGAGTGCATTCCTAAAGGAAGACTTAAAGGCAAGGTCAGAGCTAATTTTACTAATATCTCCACCAGAACTAAAACAAATTAAAGGGTGTAATACATCTAAGGAGGTATGGGACAAACTAAAGTCTATATATCAAAGTTCAGGGCCGGCAAGAAAGGCTACGCTATTAAAACAATTAGTACTGAAGAAAATGACTCCACAAGAAGACGTGAGAGACCATCTCAGTAATTTTATGGATGTAGTAGGTAAATTAGAAGACATGGATGTCAAAATTCATCCAGAGTTATTAAGTATAATGATGTTATACAGTTTACCTACAAATTTCGATAGCTTCCGAACGGCAATTGAGTCGAGAGATATTCTGCCAAGTCCTGACAATTTAAAAATAAAAATCGTAGAAGAATACGACGCAAGAAGGCAAACTGAAGCGAGTGAACCTCAGACTTCAGAAGCATTCTACACAAAGACGAAAAAAAAAGGTACAATTTTGCAAGAATTGCAATAAAAAAGGGCATTCCATAGAAGCTTGTTGGTCAAAGAAGAGACCCAATAATCCCAATGAAACTAAAGATCAAGAAAAGACTTATAACATCTGTTTAACAGCAGGAACGTCGAAATGTAAAGGCAGTTTATGGTGTCTTGACAGTGGGTGTACGTCACATATGACGGGTGATAAAAGTATACTCCATAACTTAATCCCCGCGACTGACACTCTAAAGCTAGCCTCAGAAAAACATACGACCGAAGTTAAAGGGAAAGGAAAAGCCGAACTTTATACGCTATAAAATTAGTCTTTCAGACACATTATATGTACCTGATTTGTCGAATAATCTAATTTCTGCGAGCAAAATTACGGATCATGGCTATAAGGTTCTATTTGAAAAAGAACAAGTCAGTGTCAAAAAAGGCGGGAAAACTGTATTAAAAGCTCACAGAAGAAATGGATTATACTATCTTGAATTTGATAAACCGGAAGAGACAGCAAATTTCACGCCTAGTGATGAAAGCGAAATTATGAAATGGCACAAGAAATTAGGTCACGTTAATGAAAGAGACCTAAAAGAAATGGTTAAAAATAAAATGATGCGAGGACTTGACTTTAAAGAAAAAACTTTGGGTACCTGTGAGACTTGTATCAAAGGAAAATTTTCCACTCTACCATTCAAAAGCCATGGACAAATAATCTCAACCGAAGTGCTCCAGATAATGCACAGTGACGTGTGTGGCCCATTTGAGAATGAATCAATGGCCGGATCAAAGTATTTCGTAACATTTATTGACGATTATACAAGATACTGCTGTGTATATTTCTTAAAAGAAAAGAGCCAAGTAATCGATAAATTCAAGGAATATAAAAACTATGTTGAACTGTTTCATAAGAAGAAAATTCAAAATCTACAATCTGATAATGGAGGCGAATTTAGGTCTAAAGCGTTTGACAAATTCCTTAAAGATAATGGTATAAGCCGAAGACTATCTGCACCTTATACCCCACAGCAAAATGGCATGAGTGAAAGGAAAAATCGGTCGCTGATGGATAAAGCCAGATGTCTGATGCTAGATGCCAATATCCCTGCAAAGTTTTGGGCAGAAGCAGTAAACACTGCAAACTATTTAATAAATAGAAGCCCAGCAAGAGCTCTCAAAGGCAATTCCCCATATGAGAAATGGGTACAACGAACACCATCAGGAAATCACCTACACGTATTCGGAAATAGAGCGTTTGTGATGAACAAAAAACGAAGAGGAAAATTCACAGCCAAAGCCACAGAAGGAGTATTCTTGGGATATGCGGAATATACAAAAGGTTTTAGAATCTATATACCCGAAAGGAATGATGTTATTATCAGCAGAGACGTAAAAGTAATCGAAAAGATGCATTATGGCGGTACTCCTGCTGAAAAACGCGAAGATCTTACTCCAGAACCTGAAGCAGAACAAATAGAAATTCAAGAAACAAGAAACAAAATTAATGAGAACTTACTTTTTCAGGAATCTAACCCCCTTTATTCCAGCTCTAGTCAAGATCCTGTTGATGAACCATCATTCTCAAGTGGAAGACCACAAAGAGACGTGAGACCACCAGCATGGACCAAAGATTATGAGTTAAGTCGCTGCGTGACCATGTTAACGTCAGAAAATAATGACAACTATGACTGCTCTTTACTCACATACAAAGAAGCTGTGAATGGCACCGACAGACGAAATTGGGAGGCTATGCAAAGTCAATACAGGAAAACTGCCCAGGAGAAGGAATATCCCTATAGGGAAGTAGTGGGAAGTTTACTGTACCTGCCTACCAGAACCAGACCAGATATCGCAAGATGTATTAAACGAAAACCTAAATAATTAATAATTATTAATTTCTTATTAATGCATGTATAGAAACGTGTCTCGGCAACATGAGTGAACATCAGGAGAAGGTGTTGGAAGGTCATGGTGCTGTCCATATACAATTGTCTATGATACACTGCATTTAAATTTGGAATATCTTTATTTTATTTTTAGATGTACGGTGTCATTTAATTCAGTTCATATATTTCCACCCTATCAACTTCAAGGTCCAGAATAGTGTATAGATTTTACGTCTAAATATTTCAATGTCACTCACTCAAACTTAGAGCATGAAAATTCACTTTTATCTTAAGTTTTCGGCAATAATTTGGTTCGTACAATTTCAACATTGAGACAAGAGTTTGGGGCATTAAATAGATTTGTTCAATATACATATTATTTTTAGTTGACATATTGTATTATAGTTGACATTGTCTACTTGAATACAAATGAGATTGGCTTTTGTTAATTTCAGCACCTAATTTTATTTCCAATCGGTCATGTTTCTAAATTTACCATTAGTTTATATTGTCTCACACAATAAAAATAAAAAAAGGATTTTTTTAAAAATGGAATGATTCCTAAAAAATCTAAATTTAGGTGTGCATCAATTCTACAATGTTGCACTTAGACTAGTAGGTTAGGTAAATTATTTAATAAATTTATTACATTAAACATTCATCTATGTTTGAACGAAAACGTAGATTAATGAGTAGTATTTGAATCTCACTCTATGACTCATTTGCCATTTTGTTACTGTATTTGGTAAAAGATAAATAGTAATTTATATCAATATTATGTAAAAAAGTGTATCAAGTAAATATAATAAATGTTTTATCTTGAAATAAATAATTTATGTCATGTGACATTTGAAAATCCAAGTATTTCTCTCAATGTATTCTGTAGCGAAACTTCCTCCAAAGTTTGGCAAAGTTGTGACATGGAATGATTAGAAAACTCTATAAGTGTAAAATTTTTAAACCTATTATCAATTGAGTTAAAGTCTGAATTTGATAACTCTTCAATTTTTCTTATTACTATTTTCTTCCAGTGCAAAGCCTTAATAATTTTCCACCATTCAATGCATGTTGTTTCATTGCCTTCTATGCATATAATTCCAGGTTTCCCTGTACAACAAAATCCATTTAAATTGTATTTTTTTGCTGTTTTAACTATCATTTCTTTTTTTTCTTTATTGTAGATATGATGTGAATATATCCAGTATCTTGTATACTTCACTGGTTCTTCATTACTTTTGTTGACATTTACAGGAAATGTTGCTGGTGGTTCACAATATTTTTCTATATTTTCAAGTAGCCACAAAATACCTGTGTAAATACACACTTCTCCAGTAAAACTTTTAGTCATAAAATTATTAAACTCAATGTTTAAGCTACTTTCTTGCTGACGATTAAGTTGATTGCTTCTAATATAAATATTAGGTTGCGTATCTGGGTAAAATGATGGAAGACATATAGATATTTCAAGTTTAGTATTAGTAATTTGTAAATTTATTATAAAGTCAATGTACCTTGGTACAAAATCTGTTGATGTTGCCAAAAAATTTTCTATTTCTTGGAGCACTGTTGCATCATAGAAAATCAATTCATTTTTTTCAGGGTACATAGATTGCAGTAAATTTATTTCGTTGACTTGCTCATTAAGGCATCGAATAAGTTTATCTTTGTTTTCTTCTGTATCCATTCTTATTTATAAACACTAAACGATTAATGAAATTATGATTTATGGAGCAAAAATTAGTTAAAAGCATAGGGTATGTTCCGATATACACTGCGACCACTGTACAGAGTACCGTCAATTTAGTATACTGTTAAACCGTTTCTCTATAGCCAGCTATACTGGTTACAATTTAAAACTATACTAGTCAGCTTCGTTTTTCGACACAGTTTTCAAATGAGTGCATCAAAGTTTTTCAATTCAACAAGAAAAACTATTATTGGAGTATTATCGCATTAAAAAAATCTATATTAATATTAACTGTCAATTGAATTAATACTACAAAGAAAGTAAGTTAGAATTTTAAATGTTTGTTATTAAACTGTAAGTTTATAAGTTATATCAGCCGTCAGGCATTCAAGTGGTTTTGATTGATCACGTGATCAAAGCACTGCGAGTACCTTACCTCGAAAACGCCAGTGCTCGCAGTAGAAGTATAGCGGGGATTTGTGACGTCATATATTTCCCTAGGACGCTGCGGCTGTATACTGGCAGTCCATAGCGGAACGAATTTTTGAACAGTGGGAGCACTATACAGTACTCGCAGTGTATATCGGAACATACCCATAGTGTGTTATAACTTATATGTATTGTAGAATGTAGTCTGTACTCTGTACAGAATATAGAAAGTGTACATAACTCACATAGCTGTGGACTGTGGTATAATATGATAAGTCCTAACCCGAGGGGCTTAGACAGATGCCTTAACAGTAGTGTATAGTATAGTCTAAAACTAAATTTGTATGAAAATGACAGCTCGTGTCGACAGTCGGTAGCGGTCTTGAGCTTTAATACGATTTAGAAATACGTCGCCCGAATTGGGCGTTGCGAGTGGGAGGAGGGGAGGATAGGACAGTTAGGCCGTAGGGTTATTACCCCCAACCACATTCACGTAAACTTGAAATTGTAACGGACTGAATCTGTCTGTCAAAATCTACACGGTTTGCGTTTCGTTTCACATGTTTTAATACACGCAGCTTGAAATATCGTAATAATGGAGGAGAAAACGCAAAGCTAATTGCAGGTGTCGCTATCATCGCTTGACCCATAACAATACGATGTCAGTTTTCGGCAATTCTTACGTAAATCTTCGGTACGATTTAGAAAATCTTAAAAGGTCAAAAAATTCCAGAATTGAAGACCCGGGCGGTTCTTTAAAAAGAAGAAAGGCAGATCTTGTCACGAAGTAATCACATGCGATATTTTTAAAAATTCATTGAATTTTTTCTATGAGGATAGGGATGAAGAATTTTATCAATCATATGTTAAAAGTATTGGACAAATTTTAAGTGGAATATTTAAAAAAGGCTTACCCTACTTAATAAATATATTAATAAGAATGCCATCTCAAAATCAGGTTTATTTCTTCTTAATTTAACTAATATCAAAAGATCCATTACACTGATGTTAATGATATGGCTGACCCTATAATTATATTATTACGATACTTACTGTGGGTGGTAGTGGGTTTCTTCTATGCGAAAACAGTTGGGATTGCAGTCTTAATTTTCAAATATCTATGAAATTGAGGTAAGCCTAAAATTGATGCATAATAATTAGTGCTTATTACATACCTGAGTACCTATACCATATACATCATAATTTAAAAGTAGTTTAAGCAAACCTGTAGAGGAGCTTACGCCTTCATAATCGGATCAAAAATGTTCCGAACATAACCTCGAAGAGTTTATAGCTTTGAAATTACGTATTTTCAGAGGTTTTTCCCAGAGTCAGCATTCAAGTATTACGTAATGAATTTGGGGGGTCTTTTTGTAAAACGTTACGATGCGGGGCGGGGATTGAATTACGCGTTATCGTTAACATTATTTTCGACTTTCCAGTACTTTACACCACAATATAATGGTAACTTTTAGGTATCACTAAGTGGTCACGAAACATTTTACTATACTTGAATACAGAAAAACGTTACGGCGCGATACATGGGGGGGTCAATAATCTCCAAAAATTGCGTGACGTAATTGATTGAAAACTTGAACGCTCCCTTGCGTAAATGCTTAGGAAAACTGTTTACATTTGTTATGGGTCAAGCGATACCAGCGCTACTAGGGGCGAAGTTTGGCAGTTTTCTTCTCCATTAAGAGAAAAGTATAAAATGTACTTTTCGTTTAACGAATTGCAATACAATACACAAAATTATATTTCATTTTTTTAATGCTTAGACGCAACTCCGGCTGCCAAAATTACTTGGAGGGGTTCCAATCAAGGTCCCCCGAGATACCTACATAATCAGTATCATCAAATTCAGGCGACGTATTTCTACAGTTCAATTTTATCTTAGTGGCCGCAGCGGCCAGCGACCAACCACGGGCCACAGATGCGTCGCTTCGATCTCGTTGGCTGCCGTGGATCGATGGGGCCGGTGGTCATATGCGCGTGCTCCATGGCGATTTCATAATAATGTAACTAGTATCTCCGATCTCGCTGGCCGCTACGACCTGGCCGCTAGTGTGCTATTGCCCTTGATGTTAAAATTAATTTATTACTAACAACTTTAAGTAAAAATTCATTGTCTCGAAAAGTCTTCTTATTTTGAATGTGCAATGTCAAAAAATATTTTACCTTTTATATATACAATGGGCGTGTTTGGCCGAAGTAAGTATTTACTAAATTTAGTAAGTCACTTACTATGCTTACAAAATTTTCGGCCGGGACACAAAATAAGTGCTAACGCAGTAAGTATGGCTTAATATACGACGCCATTTTGCTTATTACGTAGTAAACAAAACGGACAATAAAATATCCAATAAAATATTTCTCATAAAATTATCCATTTGAAACTATTCACAGGTATTAAATTATATTCCTAAATTTAGTACTGTCAATTATATTCAGTCTATGAGGTTATGTACGGGATATGACATAAACCGGTGTTTTGTGTTATGTTAATAAGCCAGTAAGTCTGTCCTGGCCGAAAAGCGCTACAGTCAGCTTGTAAGACTTTAATTTTTTTATGCTTACTGGCTTACTAAGTTTAGTAAGTACTTACTTCGGCCAAACACGCCCAATGACTATACACTTAATATACACTTAGTATATAATATAGGTAGAAAGCATCGTGCCAGTTATCACCTACCAACACTTATCTTAAAGAAGCCAGCGCCATCCACATTGACAACTCCATCCCACCAACGCAGCCTCGGTTTTCTCTTGCCATCGAATTGTGAGTTCAGTAAGGACCTTGGGGTTCCATCGTTCGCCATTATGGTGCACATGTTCCAGCCATTTGAGCGTGTTGACGATGTTGGTGTAGTTTAAGGATGTTATAAAGTTATTTTAGATTCTATCATGTTAAATTTCTTTAAGCTGTTTTCAATGAAATTCTCTGGGTTTAATTTGATTTGATCTTATTTATAGTGAATATCCATACCGAGAAATCGTTTCGGTCTTCCAAATCTTTTATTTAGTAGATCTTTTATATTTCCCAACGCTTTTGGAAGCAATTAAAATATCATCTACATACACAGTGATTATTGTTTTTACTCCACTTTTCATGAGGTGTATAAACAAGGATCGGCTTTAGACGCGTTAAATTTATGGATTTTAATTTGGTATCTGTAATTTTCTGCATTAAAGGCAACATGACACGATTACCCTTGAAAAGACACGAATATATTTATACCAACGATGTCTTAGAGCTAGAGATAGTGACCGATGTTTGTGGGCCATTTCGAACGGAATCAATTTGGGAATCAAAATGTTTTGTAACATTTCTTGATAATTTTCTAGATACTGTTACGTATATTTTATTAAAAGAATGAGTAAAGTTGTAAGCGTCTTCAAGAACAACAAAAAAGAAGTTGCGAAGCAATATAATCTTCTTCTAATATATAAAATTCTCGTGTCACAATGTTCGTTCCGAAACGGCTCGACCGATTCTTATGAAATTTTGTATGCATATTCAGTATGTCTGAGAATTAGTCTGTCCACCCCAATATTTTTTTTGTTTTTATTTTTTATGATACATCCTACAAAAATACATACAACCCTTAATTTTCATCTATCCTCTACGATCAACCCCTATTACTTATTTGTTAGTTAAGAACTTATAACTTGAACTCTGAGGTTTATATAGAGGAAAATCACAGAAAAGCCTTAAAAGTTTTAATTCCGGAAAACCGAACAGTCTCCGATGTTCCATGTTCCATGTTGGTATGTACTGAAAAGGTCGGCTAAGTAAAATCACATTAAGGAGAAACTTAAACACCACAACAAAACGATATTAGTGAAATAAAAAACAGAGCCGATTGAGAAGTGTTGGCCACTAGGCCGACACTGCTGAATCGACTAGGATTCAGCGTGCGACTCTCATCCCTGAGGTCATAGGTTTGATCCCCGGCTTTGCACCGATAGACTTTCTTTCTATATGCGTATTTAACATTCGCTCGAACGGTGAAGGAAAACATCGTGAGGAAACCGACATGTCTTGGACCCAATAAGTCGACGGCGTGTATCAGGCACAGGAGGCTTATCACCTACTTGCCTGTTAGATTGAAAAATGATCATGAAACAGATTCAGAAATCTGAGGCCCAGACCTAAAGAGGTTATAGCGCCACTGACATATTTTTTTTTTATTAGACAAAGTTGGATGCTGGTTATTAGAGGCGAATGCTACCACTGAAATTATGAGCTGAAGCGATTGCAAATGAAAATTATTTAGTTAATCGTTGTCCAACTAAATTATTAAATGGTGAGACACCATTTAAAATATGGATGGGTTCCGGTTAAAAACACCTTCTGGAAAACACCAGAATGTTTCCCAGTAGGCTTTAGCTAAAGAACATTTATTTTGAATAGGAAGAAGAAATGTAAATTTTACGAAAATGCAAAAACAGGCAGAACTTATACACTTACCGGAATAAAATGAAGTTGTGATAAGCAATACATTTTAGAGTTACATAATGCATTTTAAGATCAAAATGACGCTTATGAGAACCTTGTAAATGAAAGTGCGGAAGAGTCGTCGTCGTTTAAAGCCGGGGTGGGTCGCTAAACGGATTACTAATAAGTTGCATGACAACATAGTAAAATCCGGACAAAAATTCAAAATAGATAAATAGGGAAATTATAACAAGTTAATTGCTTTAAATATTTTTGCATGACTGGATCAAGAAGAAGTCTTTTGTTACCCAACAGTGAGCTGCAATTTTTATCCACACTTAAATGTGTTTCATTCCCTTTAATATTTCTACCCTTTTTCCTTACGGCCCTTTCACACGGCAGAACAGCTTTTTACTGAATCCTGCAAAACTGAACAGCCATGTGAACAGCGTCCAGTTTAGCAGGATACTGTAAAAAGCCGATCCAGCAAAACTAGACTGCAATGAACACGGTTGCATCCTGTTTTTTCCCCCTTTCCTACGCGCGCCGGTTATCAGGTGAAATGGACGTGAATACTTTCCTAATTTTCTATTGGTATTATCGGTGTCGGCAGCGAAATAGAAGATTCTGGGTTCATCCTATTCTGACACAACGCTTGAATTTGGGTATTTTTCGGAATCTAAAAAGCGGGGCGGGGCTGCCACCACACCACTATCCCGCAAAAACCGCACGCAGGAAGCCGTGTGAACACTGCTATTGAAAATTGAAATGTATGTGTGATTAAACGGGATCCCGCTTTTTACTGGACTACGGATTCAGTTTCTAGTGACAAAACCGAATGGCACAATTCGACCGGATCGGTTTTTTGCAGGATCCCGCATGCGGGATGCTCGTGTGAACACTAGCATATAAACACATTCGCCATCAAACGGGATCCTGCAAAAAACGGGATCCTGTAAAAAACTGGACTGCCGTGTGAAAGGGCCGTTACACTGTTAAAACCGGTTAAGGCTCATTTCGTAACTTCTTAAAAATCATTTTAAATTATATTTCAAAATAATGAAGGTTAAATCGTTCGTTTAGTTATTGCCACTATTTTATGGCAGGCGTTATGCGACGTTAAAAAAACAGTTGATATAACTGCGGTATTCTAAACAATACTGACAAATTTGGACCATTTGCTGGTCGAAAAGGGGTGATATCCGCTTCCATTAACCTTTTTCTTATTGTTCGTGCACTAACGTTTACTGTTAACTGACGTGAGGAAACGATTTCGCAGGGAAGTTGTAACAAAAAATCGGTCATCACGACCGGTGGTTGCTCGAGTTCTGCCTGTACCACGTCTCCTTTTGTAAGAACCTGTCTCCAAACCTTCTGTATATTCTAGAAACCGTAGACTGGTTTAAATTTAAATTTCTACCAATCGTTCGTGGATCCAAGCCCGCCCGCACTCAATGCTACAATTTGAGGGAAGTATCCATATTATGGTTCAGAAACTCTCGATGGGTTAAAAAGCTAACCCAACATTTCTGCTGGTAACAATAATTCAATTGTCAAAAGAAAAAAAAATCAATAAGAATCAATTTTAAAAAACACGCAAATCTGATACTACGAGTTAATTTTCTTTTCCTGGCTATATTCATATTTTGTTTTACTGCAGTTCTATTTTTAAATATTGCTTTTTTTTAAGATTAAGGGCCAGTCTCTCCATATTTATATACTTAATTTAATCTAAAAAGTTTGCATACTTATTAAAAAAATGTTAAAGTAAAAGTTTGATGCAGTTTATGAGTCCGTCAGTGTAGTTTTTACACCAGATATGCTTTTTTCAAAATTACCTATCTTTGTTAAAACTATATTTGAACTTTAAAGCTACTTTTTATTTAGCTCAGTATTTCATTTTGGATGTAGATAGAGGTGTAATCTAACTAGGCTGTGTGTGTATCTAAAAGTAGGTAGATACAACAAGCTTTCATAATGCACTGAAGAAAGTACCTAATTTGACTAATATGTATATACTCAATCTTGTAAGATTAAATAGTTTATGTCACCGCAAAGTAGGTAATAGTGTTTCTTGTAGGTACTTAGTCGTTTAATTAGATTTAAGACGTTACCCAGCAATAGGTACCTACTATATTACTTAGAGCAGGAAAACTAATAGTATTCATATTAAAATCCAAACGGACTAACGAATTATTATTATAATATATTACTGAACTTTAATATAATACGAGTAACTGATTTAACCCAAAATAATTATAAAAAAAACTATATAATTATATAATAGTAAAATCAAAACGTGATTATTGTGCGCACCAACAAAACGTACTTTTGAAATAGCCTCTACCTACTTCTAGCACGAAATGCGTCCTACTTTAGTGGTTAGTGACCCCAGATGACGTCATTACCTACCTATATTCTATTTAACCTCCCAATCCATAATAACCACTAAATTAAATACAATATCTTCTCCATTTCTGAATTATGATATTATCTAAAAATTTTAAAATAATATTTCTATTTATTTATTGGATCTTATCCAGTTTCTACTGCCTTAAGTTATCATAGCGATGGCCAGTGAAGCAGGGCCGCCATTTTCTTTAACTAAAATATACATATTGTAGGATGTTTTCTTGTAAAAAAATATGCCATTAATTTAACTTTATTTATTTTTAATGAAGTATTTACTTTGTATCTATGCCTTAAAGAAGTAAATTATATGGTGAATTAGCAAGGGGTCAAATAATAAAAACGGCCGTTCGCAACATTTCACATTATTTACTTCCATAACTTTATTTCTAACATATTATCCTTACAAAACCCTTCGGAAACGTGTGAACATACATCTTTACATTAAAGTAGAAAGAATACAATTATATCTAAATTTCGTTCTATAAGTACAACAAAAATTTAGTATATATATATACCCAGAACAGACTAACCTGAGATCAGAACAACAAAACCGGTAGCTATTTGATTTAACAAAATTTCAAATGACTGAGGAGATAGATGGTTTAAAGAATAAAGAAACCCAAGTAGTACACAATATGTAATAATTACTTAATTATCTACTAACTTAATTAATACCTTACGTAATCATAATTGAATTAGCATCTTGAATAATTTCATTCTATCAATTTTACAATTCAATCAGCTGTTTTGTGAAAAATTAATAAATTTAAGACAGGCAATAATTTACTAGTCACGGATTATACATGAGTAAGCAAATAAATAATAATATTACTTAATAATCGTTATCAAATCTAATATCTAACTTGCACAATCATCCACTACATAGTGTTGATGCAGATCTTAGTGAAATTGCTTTTATTATTTGTGACATACATTAAAATTATGAGATGCCCCACTAGTCACAAATGCACAGAACAGTAGGAAAATGATTTGAACAATACAAAGGTCACAAAATATTGATGATCTTACAATAATTAATTTATACACTGATTTACAACTTACTTTTTTGTTATTTAAAAATAACATTTATATTAACTTGACAACTTAAGTTATCAATATACTCTGTTTCAATTCTATGTGAAAGATGCTTATATCAGGTTATTTACAAAATACTGCCTGATCTTGCAAAAGTGCATGGCTGAGAAGCAAATGGGAAAGAATTTATATATTTAGGTAGTTTCACATAAGTTGCATTTGTTAGTGCTATTTCCCCTTTGCAGTTATAGTAATACCAGACTTGGCAGGTTGAGGTATAATTGTTATCTCATCACTGATCTTTAGAGGTTTGAGCAATGAGTCATTATCGGTGGGCTTTGAGGGGGCTGGAGCACCTTTGTTTTTTTCTATGACGCGTTTGGCCACCACACTGTGTGCCGAATAAACATGGTTCTCAAACTGCTTGTACATTCCAAATGTTGCAGTGCATACAGTGCATTTGTATGATAGATGAGCTGGTTTTAGAGTCATGTTATGATCTCTTGCAACATGGTTCAGTAACTTCCACTGGTACACTCTCCCACACACAGGGCACCTACCTGCATCTTTGCCTTTGTTGGCAGCTTCTTGCATGGAACTTGTTACAAGTCCATGTGAACCCAGCAAGTGTCTTTCCAATCCCTGGTCAGTAAAGAACCTAAACTGGCACTTCTGGCAATTAAGGGGAGGCCGATTATAGATCATTTTAGGGTGTATCTTGACTTTATGAATCCACTGCATGTGATTTCTTAACTGTTCCAAGTCTTTGATGTATCCATCACAAATTTCACAAATAACAAAGTGAGCTTTTGAATTCTGTGATGAGTTGGATGATGAGGGCTGTGGCACCCGTGGAAGAGGAGTGATAGATATTTTTGGAGTAGCAGAATGATTTCCTTGGTTGTTCATTACTGGATAGTTGGAAATTGTGGTCCCACTTGGTTGATTGTTATGCATAATCATAACTCCACTTCTAATTATGGGCACTCCTGAGACAGCTGCCCGTGGAGAAGGCCCTCCTAGAGGTGGGCGTCCTCTTGGTCTACCAAGTATTGGCATATTAGGTATAACTGAATTAGATATGCTTAGTGGTGGACGTCCCAAAGGACTCAAACCAATTTGTGTACGATTAAAGTTTGATTGATATGGGGCCATCATATTATTTCGAGCTCTAGACAACTTTGGTATTTTGGCTGGTGGCTCCCAATCTAATGGTGGTCCCAGATTGAATTCTGGCTTGAACTTTTTAGCACAGGCAATAAGGTGGCGAGCTAATTTAGTTTTGCTGTTGTCTTCAAAGTGGCAGCTTGGGCATTGTTGGTAAGCAGGAGCTCTTTCTAATCTACCTCTTATGTTATGTTCAGCCTCCATATGAAACAGTATATCATGAGGGCTTCTAATTTCAAAGGAACAAGTATTACATTTGTAAATATTGTTCTTCATGTGTGGTGCTTCTAAATGATGTGACATAACAAGCATAGATTCTGTTTTAAAACTACAAAATTCACATTGCTTTTGTTTTAAAGCATAAGGAGCATTAAGTTTCTTACTGTATGCATAATTTTGAGTTAGAGATGCTATAGCTGCTTCTGTGGCACGAGTGCTACGATCAGACTTCCTCTCTTTGTATAATTTACGATTTTGCGTTTTTAATAAGTCACTTTGTACATATTCTTGCACAAGGTTAATTCCAATATTAATAAAGAATTGTCCAAGTGAACAGTCAAAGTAACTATCAGATTTTCCACCTGAACCTTTAGTTATAATTTCCATAGGATCCTTAATATCATCTGTAGTGTCCTTATCCTTAATCACTACAGTGTCGTCGTCACTAGCAACATCATCAGACTCGCTAGAGGATTCCCCATCCCAAGAGTCATCATCATCATCATTTCTACGTCCCCGACGCTGTTTCTTTGCAACCTTCTCCTTACCCTCTTCAACTTTTTTTTCTTCCTTATCAACTTCGTCATCTTCTACAATTTCACCTTTTTCTATTTTTTCCTTTCTCTCCTTTTCTCTTTGTTCTTTTTCTGTCTTCTCTTTTTCTAATTTTTCTTCATCCTCTTGAGCCTTTAAATCTTCTAATTCTTTTCCTAATTTATCAACAAATTCTCTAAATGGTTTTAATGAAGGTTTCTCATAAACATAAGGTACAATAAATGATGGAGCTTCAACAACAAACATATCATCTGTCAGAGATGGAAGTATGTTTGCTTGTGGAGTTGAAGTGCTGTTTTGATTAGCCTTAGAATTACTATTCTTACTGCTGATGGGTGTTATTGTTGTACCCCTTGCAGCAATACTTTGACATAGATTTTGTGCATCAATACTACCAGAATTTATTTTGTTTGATGCAGGGGCAGGAGCTTTTCCAGAAAGAATGGAATTGGTATCAATAATCACAACCGTTGGTTCTTTATTTGTGTCATCACCATTAGAAGTGCTCTGTTTTGTAGCAAGATCTGCCAAGTTCTTTGTATCGTTTATAACAATAGGTTTATTTTTATTTTGAACTTGGTTAAGGGGATCCTCCATATTAACTTCTTCAATATCTGATTCCTCCCCATTTTCCATTGGATCTTCATCTTTAGTTTTATCTCTATCTCTATTACTTTGTTGTGAATCTTCTGAGCTATCATTTGATTCTGTACTAGAATTAGAAGATTCATCATCATTGGTAACTATTTCATCATCACTAGTAATCTCATGAACTTCTGGGCTTATCCCACCTCCTCCATTCTGGTTCTGTGCTTCATTTTCATTGTCATTTTCATTCTCATTTTCGTTCTCATTTTCTGATTCACTGCTTTCACCTTTAGGTTGGCTTCCTTGTGATGTATCATCATCTCCTTCAGTGCGGTCATCTGAAACGTAAATAAACAATCAACTCAAACAAGCAGCTTTATGAGTTCATAAAGCTTCAGTTCAGCTTTATAGTTCGTTTACTTAGTTAAGTCAACTTATAAGACCTATTGATTTCTTAAATCATTGTTTCTAACAAAACAAAGTTACTAAATGATAAATAATAAAAGTATATTTCATATTTTTTAATTTATATAGACATTTGTAAAAACTGTTTTATGTAACTGTACTATCTTTGAATATAGTAGTTGCTACTACCTAAAATAAATTAGTCCTGTACCCTGTAATAAAAAAAAGTAATAACCATCTTAACAATCACCTATTAAGACAATTTAATACAAAATATGATCACAACATTTATTATTAGCATACATATTATTAATGTTTAACTAAGAAATTTATTGTTGTTGAACCTTAACAAAATCAAAACATTGTAACATTTTACTTTTAATAATAAAACTAAACATTTGAAGAATTGAAAAGAGAACTGGGATCTATTTTTTCAGTGGCCTAAAAAAAAGTACTCTATAAATGTCCGGCGTCGCCGAAGACGCTAGAAAGGTAAAAAAAATTAGAATATATAACTTAGTAACCTAACGTTAACAAACGTAAGTTGTTACTTAAAATTTTTGCCAAATATTGATGACTACGATGCGCATTTGAATGAGTTTTATGGCAGCAATACTTTTTAGCTTTACTTGGCGTCATTATATCATGTGGAGCATAGACCGCCATATGGGATTCCATGGCTTTGCTCCGAAAAACACTACTTCGCAAGCATAGCGACAAAATTGATATATGTCTTAAAAATTTAATATAATCAAGCGTGTAAACCATATAAACGAACCTGTAGCAGTTGAAATAGACATCATAAGTAGATTTTTAATATAAACTCGAAAAACTAGCGAAAGCCACAATAGCACAGCGGAAACCAAACCAAATCAAGCTGTCATTCACAAAGGCAGAAGTCTCCATTTCCATTTTTGTGTCATTTTCTGTCACAGACACTCATTTTTAATTTCTATCTTTTAATACAGGATAAAAATAAAGATTATTTTTGTTATATTTTCACTAATAGATACAAAAATGCGTAATATTTATAATTCTAAAACTTTATAGTATTACTGTGTAATGAATCCATGGCCAGAAAGGTAAGGTGCATAAAACCACTACTGTATACCTCCACAGATATTTACCATAGAGTACTAGTACAGTAAAGGTAGTACCGTTTCGACCCCATAATAAATAATTGTTTAAAGGTTTAGGGTTCTCCTTAATGGCAATGAGTACGGCCCAATTACCATTAGGCTTCAACAAATCAAATTATATAATATTTATATTAAGTATGCATATTGTATATTCTAAAATTTAACATGTGTTTTTTTTGGTCAACGTATATATATATAAGGCAGAAATAAAAACATACTCAAACAATAAACATTTTTAATATCTAAAAAATATAAATACTGTTAGTACTTAATTTTTACTTACAGAATAACAGTTAATTTCGATAAAAATTTCTTTCATATAAATCTATGTTTAGTTACATTTATTATTTATTATTTAATATTCTTATGTATGTATGATTTTAATGAGGCAACTTGTCATCTGGCTTTCGAATTACACCTAACTCCTCACCAGCATTTAGGCACTTGTGAGCATATTCCTTTGCTCTTTTGCATTCCTGGTCATCTAGCTTTGTAATTGCCATTAATATTTCCATAACATCAGTCTCAAATACCCTGGCAGCCATATCAACATCTTCCTTAACAATGTTATACAAGAGATAAGTTCCTCTGTACTGTATTTCTTTATTAGGGTTTGCTAACAAACATCTTATTGATTCTAACCATGAATCAAGGTCAAGAATTTTTCTGCAACATGTTTTATTTGCAGAGGTCAATACACATAAAGCTCCCGAGGCAGCCATGACCGTGTCTATATCTTCCTCCTGGCAAAGTAGAGTTAAAAACTTTGTCTTATCGTTATTACCCTCAAAGGTTTTTATCACTTCTTCTGACTGCACTAAATTACATATACATTGAGTTGCAGCTCTTTGCAGCATAACATGATCCTCATACATATAGTTTTCAATTTTAGATAATCCCCCCTCCTTAAGTATTCTATTTCGAGTTGTTTCATTCATTCCAGCTAAGTTACACAAAGCCATAAGTGCCTCGAAATTTTCTAAAGCAGTGCAATCAGGATGTAATAATGCTAATAATGGTCTGACTACTTCTAAATTTCTCTGTCCAGGGAATGCAACTTCTGGATTTATTGTTATTCCAATACGTGCTAAGGCTTGAGCAGCCTGTTTCTTACCAGTATTTGTCCCCTCTAAGGCCATTGGAATCAATACTTTTGCTCCTCCTTGTTGTACCACTATACCCCTCAAGTCTTGTAGACTACAAATAGCATTAAACACTCTAGCAATTAGCTCTCTTGAATTATGACTTTCAGTTTTAGCTAAGGCAACTAAACCTGAGGTCACACCTGCTTTACATAATACAGTTAATCTTTTATTAACAAAGTCAGGGTCATCTAATTCATGTTGCTCTGGGATGTGATGCTTTGCAAATTTTGCTAGCTCAAGCATTTCAGGCATTATTTCTTGTTTTTCATATGCATTACACAGATTGACTAGTGTAGTAACAACACCGTAAACACAAGACTGATCACCAGTTTTGGCAAGCTCTATAAGTGAATTCAGAGCAGCTTTATCTTCTACTAATTTTTCTTTTACATCTGCATCTAAAGTAAGGTATGAAAGGCCTTCTGCTGCCCATTTTCTCATATCTTTATCTTTAGCTGGGTTTATAAGAAACTTTCTACAGGCATCTGCCAATTTTGTAGTTGAACCATCTGCAAATGGACGAATTGAAGCATCATCTCCACCAAAACTACCGATTTTGCATAATCCAACAAGAGCTCTTACTCTTACAGCATCATTTTTACAAGTATATAATTTTTTTAAGATATCAACACCTTTGGTAATAATAGCTTTTGCTTTATCTTTTTTAGACGCAGCAGCAATCAGGCATTCACATGCAGTTTTTTGCTGTAATGGATCATCAGTTTGGGCCATAACTAAAATCATTTCTATGATCCCCTCCTTTGATATAACATAATTCCCAACATCAAGAGGTCCTCTTAGCAGTGATGTGATAGCAACAGTGACACGGACTTTAGACTCAAGGTCTGGTGTCAGAAGTTTGCTTTTAACAAAATCATCTACTTGTTCATTGAATTTTGCTCTAGCTTCATCATAATACATATTTTCATAAATCTTGGCAAGGCAAGCTGCAGCAATTGTCCTTGAAGACGGAGTTATATTCATAGCTGATTCATATTTGTACTCTTCTAACTCACTACATACCTCTAGTAATCGCTGTAAGCCTCTAATTTCAATAAATCTTTCTGACCAATTAAGAGCAGTATAATGACAATTTCTCATTACTAACTCTATAATAGCATCTCTTGCTAGACCAGTGATGACTCTATTAGTTATTGAATAAGTTAAGCAAGTAAGTAGGGTGTCTATTGAAGATTTATGTTCTTCACACAATTTTTTATCTGGTATGGCCTCCTTTTTACTATCCATCCCAGAAAATGTGTTCAGTATGGTTTGAAGACAGTACTGGGCTACATTTACAATTTCTTCTTTGTCACTATCAATTATTTCCAAGAACCAAGGCACACCAACTACATTAATTACACTTATTGTTCTCTGTACATTCCCTTTACATAACTGGCTAATGACACGGATCGCATTTATGTATATTTCAGCATGTTTTTCATTTTTAACTAATTGTTGAATTTTATGAATGATACCATTTTTCAACATAACTTCAGCAGCTGCATTTTCTTTAGATAGAACAAGAAGATTAGTCATTGCCTTTTCACGCTTATCATTATCAGCAGTAAGATCAAATGCCAGCTTGAACATTTGGTCCACTTTGTTACTGGTTTGAGCGGCGGTTCTTGCTCTTTCTTCAACAATTGCATGTAAGCGGCCTAACATAGGCTGTATAGCTTTATTTGCAGGATCTACTGTAAATATTGTTTTAGCATCTCTGTAGGCCTCTTCAAAGCGTTCTAAGTTTTCAAGTGCTTGTGCACGCCGGAACATAGCTTTTGGATCTTCCGGAATTATATCTAAAGCTTCATTACAATCGTTGATGGTTTTCTCATATTCTTTTAGTTTGAGATAGGCAGCAGCTCGATTCTTTAAGTATGTGGCCATATCGCGACTGTCTTTTGCAGTAATATTAATCGCTTTGTTGTATAGGGACAAAGCAAGTTCGTAATCTTCCGATTTGAAGGCATCATTACCTTTGTTTTTGTAGTTTTCTGCCTCTTCCACTTGAACCATTTCTAATATTATATTATTGCTTTACACAAAACTTATATATTGATAAGCTTTCAAGCCACATGAGAATTTTCTGGTACAATCTCGTGCATAGCAAGTCTAAGCTTAAAATAGAACGTTTATTTTTGTAACCCTATCCAGTATCCTAATTTCCCTATGACCATAATATAATTATGAATCTGTGATTTCAATAACGCCAAAGTAAACCGTAATCTGTGTAAGCAGAGATTGCCATAGATAAGTATAGACTTGTAAATTACTGTGGTACATTCTGTCTCTGCAGCTTTTTTTTGTGTGCCACCATCCATGCCATGTAGAATTTGGTTTCAAAGTAAGTAAACTTAGGGTTATTTATATAAATTCACTTATCTCTCCATATACTATTTCATAACTATTTTTATTTAATATATAACTAAATATTAACGAAGATCCACAATCTCGTGTTTGTCGTTCGATTATCTGTCTGTGCCCTGTGGTATAGTCTTTGTAATATGTGTCTCTGATCCGGCTATGAACTATGTGCGTTTTCCAATTACAGAGCATTATGCGACTCAGTGCCGCACAATGCCGCATAATGCTGAAGCTTAATTGGAACGTGAATTAGTTTTCAAATGCATCAGCAGAGTGCGCTAAGTCAGTGTTGAAAAAAAAAATGTTCTGAATAGAGTTAGCAACCTCATTAATGTATAAATAATGTGGTTAACAATAATAATTGGTTGAATATTTTTACGCTTATTTTAATAATCAAATTATTTCATTAACATTTTTTTTACTGAAATAAGAGAAAACCTTTAAAGAATATAAGGTTTTAACAAGCTAAATTAACAGTAAAGTATATAGTTTCATGTAAGAAGTTTACATCATTTACGTTTTGAGCAATTTTTTTTAAATGATTTCTAAAAAAATTATATACTTTTTCAAAACCATTGCAATGTTTATAAGAGTATAATCCTGTAAAATAAATTTGTTTACAGATCCGAATTTTAAAATAAAATTGTATTCATATTTTAAATGTGGAATATAAAAAAAGTAACTATTTATAACTTCATCCATACTTATATTTATTTTTTTTAGCAGTTTGAAATAACTTTAATTATTTTCAAAATTTACGACGAAACAAATTTTTCAACAATAAATAATATTTACTAACGAAAATTTTGATAAATGCCAACTTAAAGAAAAACACTGGTCAATTTTCACAGAGAAGCACGCGAGAGCATTCGTTTTGAGAGTGCTCAATTGTGCGAAGCGTTGCTGTAGTTGGAACATTCAACGTAGAGCATTATGCCGCATAATGCGCTCTAGTGCTGTAATTGGAAAACGCACTATGAAAGCTTATTTTACCTCTCCATAATCTGTGAGTTTATTAGGTATCTTATATCTGTAATTTTTACTCGAGTTTCATTTATTTGAGCTATCATCGAAATATCTTTTCGAGAAGTGCCGCTAATATTTGGAATAATACGTGAATTTCTATTTAGAAATGGCAGCAATAAGTTTATTAAACCCCAAGGCTGAATTTGCCAGAGCTGCACAGGCATTAGCCGTTAATATATCAGCCGCAAAAGGCATTCAAGATGTCATGAAAACTAACCTAGGACCAAAAGGAACACTAAAAATGTTAGTATTTCTACAAATCTGGTACTTACAGTAAACGCTTTATATTTAAACCGTTATTTGTGTCATTATGTCATCCTCCAAACTCAATCGTAAAAATATTATGTTGAATATAGAAAAATGAAACAATTATAGTAACATGCGGTGCGTTGACAGAAATCACGAGTTCTGTTATCCGCTATTGCAAATAATTTGGAGTTTTCTACCATCACCATCTGGCTGGATAATGGCTTCTATAAATGGTTTTGATTTATTAAACTTGTTTTGTTAAATAAACAAAAGCATAAATAAAAACATGTACTTTACGTTCTTGCAAACAATTTGAAAATTAAGTAGGCTATTTGCCCATCACAACTATATATATATATAGTTGTGATGATGTGTTTTAGGCTAATCTGTAACAAAGGACCTCTTGGATGATCATCTAAGAGGAAAATTTAAAAAAAGCTCGTAAATTTGTTTAAATCAACTTTTACTACTGTAAGACATTTTTGTGGATACATAATGGTTTTGGTATAATATAGGTTAGTATCTGGTGCTGGTGACATCAAGATAACTAAAGATGGAAATGTTCTTCTGCATGAGATGCAGATTCAGCATCCAACAGCTTCTCTGATTGCTAGAGCTTCAACTGCTCAAGACGACGCGACGGGTGATGGAACAACTTCTACTGTCCTTTTGATTGGAGAACTCTTGAAGCAGGCTGATATTTATATAAGTGAAGGTAAAATTTTTAAATGAACTAATAATACACTCTTTTACAGTATATGTATTTTAAAAAGTAAAATTATGAATGGTGGAGAAATGCAAAAATTTGGATTCTATAAGCAGCATTTACAAATTTAATTATCTATGAATTGTCAAACTGGCAGTTTTTGGGGCCATGGATATATTAGGTCCTTACATATGAAATTGGCGTTTTGTATGGGAGGAACAAAAAGTTGAATATTTTTAAATATAATATATTTAATTAATCAAAGTATGAACCATTGTTTTCTATGCACTTTTGCCATCTCATAGGTAGGTCATTGATCCCTTTACTAAAAAAAACAGTCGGGAATCAATAAAATCTGTGAAGGCGATTTGGACTGCCCCATCAGAGTTAAATTTTTTCCCTTGCAAGAAGTTGTCCAAATTTCGAAAAAAATGGTAATCTGTTGGAGCAAGGTCCGGGAGTACAGAGGATGTCTTAGACATTCCAATTGAAGCTCTTCTAATTTGGTAGCCGTCTGTTGTGCAGTGTGTGGTCTAGCGTTGTCGTGAAGTAGCAGTGGCGTGGAGCGATTGACCAGCCTAGGTTGTTTAGCCGCTAGCTTTCCATCATGGTTTGCAATTGCTGAAAATAGACATCAGCCGTAATAGTCTGGCCAGATTTGAGAAAACTGCAATGAACAATACCGGCACTAAACGCTTACAAGTAACTTTTTTGGGGTTAATTTTCGCTTGGGGCAGGATTTGGCTGGCTGGCCAGGATCCAACTATTGCACTGAGCGCTTCCGATTATCGTAAAGAATCCATTTTTCATCACAGGTAATGATTCGGTTTAAAATACCTTCATTATTGTGCCGGTTCAGTAATGTAACGCAGCAGTCGACGCGCGTTTGCCGGTTTGCTTCAGTCAATTCGTGAGGTACCCATCTTTCAAGCTTTTTAATCTTCCCAATTTGCTTCAAGTGAATTAAAACAGTTTTATCACTAACACCGCAGCCTGCAGCTAACTTGGACGTGGTTTGCGATGGATCCGCTTCCACAATAGCCTTCAATACTTCATTATCAATTTGAGTCTCAGGCCGTCCACGTTGCTTGTTCTGCAGGTCGAAATTTCCAGAACGGAAACGTTGGAACCAAAAACGAACTGTGTTTTCTTTTGCAACATGACCGCCATACACATCATTCACCCTTCGAGTCGTTACCGCAGCACTAGTGCCACGGCGGAACTCATACTCGTAAATAATGCGATACTTTAAGTTTTTCATTTTGTAAAATGAGTGAAACAGAAAAAACAGAAGAAAAAAACAAATGAATGACGGTCATCGAAGCACAAATACATGAGTAAATAGCTGTACAAATTTGAATTTGGAATTCCTTACCAAAGAGGAGAACATCGTGATTAAAGTGGCTAGTACGAAATACGCCAATTTCATATGTAAGGACCTAATATTAAAAATTCGTAATTTTGTAATACAAACATTTTCTTATCCTCCACGGCCCCACTTAGTGGGATGTCGCCGTATTTTTCACCTAGAAGTTAGCTGATTTCGGAACGGGATACCGTCTTTTTTTACCCTTGAGGGCTTGATTCTGTCGCCAAAATGGTTCTGCAGGGCATAGAACTCTTTACTTCATTTTCTGTGGTGCCTATTGGGAGTAAGTGGTAGCCCTGGTTTAAACATTTTTCCAAAGCAGCTTCGCGTCGAAAGCAAGAATGCGCTAAAGCGTGGGCGGAACCGGCGTCATGTCGAGATGCTAGGGCTAAGGCAGAATCTGAGCACATTGTTAATTTGGCCCCGCCTCCTTTCACCCTTGCACAGGGAGAATCACTCGCTTGCCCATACCGCGAAAGAGGAAGCCGACCTTTTGGGCTCTTCGCGTCCAACTCGACTTTGGATGACGAATGCGGCACTGTCCCTAAGTGCCTAAAGACCGCCAACTATCACCCAATAGACACACGTTTTCTGCTGAAAAAACACCCTTTGTCGCTACTCCCCTTGACACGGGCGACCGTTCTCACCTCTGGGCTCCCGCTCCCCAGTACCAGCTTCTTCCACTTGACTGTATTCAATGAAGAGCGGTTTGAATCATTTGAATACCAATACATACAAATCTCCAATTTCATAGTCGATCTAATATAATTTTTTTTGTTTCAGGACTTCATCCAAGAATTGTTACTGAAGGCTTTGATTTAGCAAGAAATAAAGCTTTAGAAGTGCTTGATAGCATGAAAGTACCAATTGAGGTGAATAGAGAGAGTCTTTTGGATGTTGCCCGTACTTCTTTAAAAACAAAGGTGAATTTAGCTAATACATTATGGACAGAGCTATGCTATACTTAATTGCTTTTGAGTTAAGACTCACAAGGTAAAATTCAAAGTCAAGACATGGTGCAAATTATGACTCCAGTATATCATAAACATATAGGCTTACAAAAGGAAGGCATAGTAATTGTAAAGTGACTATGAATCTTACCCTTTCAATAATAATAGTTTTGAATTGACTGCTTTTATACAGTATACAATGAAATATTTTGGTCATATGTTTTTAGGTACACCAAAACCTAGCTAATGTATTAACAGACGCCTGTGTGGATGCTGTTCTGTCCATCCGTACACCTGGAAAAAGTGTAGATCTGCACATGGTTGAATTGATGGAAATGCAGCATAAAACTGCCACAGAGACGTCTTTAATCAAAGGTTGGTAGTATATTACTGCCCACATGCTAAATTAAGACATTATAAGACTAGACAGTTTACCATTTTGATTAATTTAATTATTATTATTTATTCATAGGCCTTGTGATGGATCATGGTGCTCGTCATCCCGATATGCCTAAGCGAGTGGAAAATGCTTACATACTGACATGTAATGTCTCTCTTGAATATGAAAAGACAGAAGTCAACTCTGGTTTCTTCTACAAGTCTGCTGAAGACAGAGAAAAACTTGTAGCTGCTGAGAGAGACTTTATTGACCTTAGAGTAAAAAAGGTAAGTTTAATTTTTATTTATTATAATATAATAATAATATTTTGTTTTTAGTTTTGACTATAAAACTATTATATTTATTCTAGATAATTGCTCTTAAGAAAAAACTGTGTGATGGTACAGACAAGTCCTTTGTTGTGATCAACCAGAAAGGAATTGATCCTCTTTCCCTAGATGTGTTTGCAAAGGAGGGCATTATTGCTCTGCGCAGAGCAAAACGCCGTAACATGGAACGCTTAGCACTCGCTTGCGGTGGTTCTGCTATGAACTCTGTCGACGATTTGACTGAGGAATGTCTCGGATATGCTGGCTTAGTTTATGAACATATCCTTGGTGAAGAGAAATACACATTTGTTGAAAACTGCAAGAACCCACAATCTGTTACAATTCTTATCAAAGGACCAAACAAGCACACACTCACGCAGATCAAGGATGCTATACGTGATGGTCTTCGTGCAATTAACAATGCTATTGAAGACAAATGTATTGTGCCAGGAGCTGCAGCATTTGAAATTAAATCTAATTTGGAACTCCTAAAATACAAGGACACTGTCAAGGGAAAGGCTCGGCTTGGAATCCAGGCCTATGCTGAGGCCCTTCTTGTTATTCCGAAGACTCTAGCTGTTAATTCCGGTTATGATGCCCAAGATACTATTGTGAAGTTGCAAGAGGAAGCCCGTTTGAGTCCTGATCCAATTGGCTTAGATCTTAATAGTGGAGAAGCAATTAAACCCACAGATATGGGTATCTATGATAATTATATTGTAAAGAAACAAATACTTAACTCCTGCTCTGTAATTGCAAGTAACTTACTACTTGTTGATGAAATTATGAGAGCTGGAATGAGTAGTCTGAAAGGTTAGGTTACTTTCTGCAGTGATAATGGTTTCTTATAGTTTTAACTATTTTCTTTGCCTCAATATAATAATGTTAACTACGATTAATACAATTTAGTTCTTTTCTTTAAAATAATGTATGAGAAACTAAATTTTTAATAGTAACACAAGTGCTATTGCTTATGATAAACCTTAAAATTTATGTCAAAATAAATTGCTTTCTAACACATGGTTATTTTATTGGACATACAGAACTCATTAGGATACAATCATTTATTTTTCACAAAAATAATGAATTGACAGTAAAAACAACAAAGCATAACAGAGGAGTAATTAGTTTACCAGTATACATTTGCAGTGCAAAAATACAATATTCATAAATAATAAGAGGTAATTTATCCATGAAACTGAATTTGTGATGATTTTATTCAATCACAAGGCAAGCCTTTTTGTTTGCATCTTCATATTTCAAGATATATAAGATTCAAATTAATTATTTTAATTAATGATGAATGAAGTCAGTGTATGTGTTTTTTATACAAGAATTCTCGTATAAATTTTTGAAACTTAAATGTAATCAAAATATTGTTTCACAATACTTACATATTAAATATGTATCTATCTTACTACTGAAAGATTAAACTAATATTTTTTTTACCACAATAGGTAATCATCACAAATGGCATGGGTGGATCAGGTAGTAATGAAAGTTTTCACATACTAAACATTACAGTGCAATGAAGCATTAACTACCATATTATACAGGCTAATTTTGAAATGTTCTTCAGAATGAAGCAACATGCAGTTGTATACAAATAATTCTTTATGTACTTTTAAAAATCAGCCCTTACTTAAAACTATAAACATTTTACATGAACCTACATACAACATTTAATAAATGATTTAAAAAAAAAAGATCTTATGATTAATTATTATAACATATTTCAGACCAAATTTAAAACAACAAAAAATTAAACTCAAAAGTCTTAACAACACCAGTACTCTATTCACTAAATGATTGCAGTTTTGTCTTCATCCATAGAAATGTTATCCTTATACTCTGTGTCCAACCACTGATTGTCATTACAAAGTATCAATTTACAAACTACTGTGTGGTACAAAACTTATTAAGTATTGGTTCTGACACAAAGATTAATAAATTATTTTTAAAATAACTTATTGTTATAGTAAATAAAAATAATATAAATTCAATGAAATGCTTAAATTATCACAAAACTAAATGACTAGCTACTTAAACTATTGAGATACAAACTATAAAAATTATTATTTTTGGTAGTTGTGAAAATGATGAAAATATTTGGCCATAATTATTGTTATTTCAGCCTGTTTAATTAATTTGTTTGGCGGATATAGCTGCTCTCTCTTGAAGATCAATGGTAGCTAAGTTAATAGATGCAACAATCCCATGAAGTACAGAGATTAATGTCTTTACCAGAGCTACAGGGGCTGACAAGATAGCAATCAAAGGAAAAATTCCCAGACCCAAGACTGAAACAAAGATTAAAATGTTATACACAAGCATACATATGAACTGTAAATATAAAATTTTATGAAAAAAAAAGATAAATTTTACACTATCATGTGTTTTAAATTATAGTGCTGTAAAATATTTTTTTCATATATATACAATGTAAACTCCATGTTAGGTCCCTCGATTTAACAACAAACCTCCTAAAGTGTTGAATTTCCATTCTTTCGATTGGCATTATAAAAGTAGGGGTGTTTTTTTTTACATTTAAGCCGGTTCGATTTCCAGACGAGGCAAGTAATTTTTACAAAATCTTTGAATGCAGAATTACTAACTTTTAAAAATAACATAAAGTCTTCTTTCAGTAAAATACCCTATCTACGATATTAAAGGTACTTTCCCTTCATGTCCCTTAACTTTGGGACGCCCTGTATTATATTTTTATTTTTGTTAAAAATATTTTTCCTTTGCCTCTCTCTGCTGGTACGATAAGGCTGTAAATAAACTTTACAGCCTTATGGTAGTATACTCAGATACGTACAGTTATTAATGACCTTAAGGGACACCTCAAACGTCGTCGAAGTTTTTATCAGCTGTAAAGAATAATCTGGAGCAAAATGTACGGCATCTGGTTTTTTTTGTTTATTTGTTACATACAAAATAACAATAATCTTTGAAAAAATTACTCCCCATATTACTCTAGGAATATTTGAAAAATCATCTAAATTTCGGAAATTTCATATATTTTTTATCATAATATTTTTATTTGTTACCATTTATAATGAACGGCTATAAGGTACAACGGTAATATTTAGTAACATTATGTAAAAAAACAAGTTGCCGTACATTATTCTCTGATCTTACAGCAGTAAGAACTCGGTAAATCCTGAAATTTCGATAAATATTTATTTACACAAATATTAACTATAATTTTTGGACGGCATAATTATAAAACATTATTGTCCATGTTAAATAATATTTTGAACATATTGCCGTACATTTTACTATGACCTTAGGGTATATATGTGTAGGGGTAGGGTTGCGACCCTTGGCTTTCGACCGCTCCGCTGGAAATATGTACGGCGTTTACGGGTAAAGTATCTGTTAATGTGTCCAAAAGGAATTACACAAATGCCGTACTGTAATAAATGACCTATATTGCTTCTGCAACTATCGTCGAATTAAAAATTTGCACCGACTTCAGGTACCATCACTTTAGTACGGCACTAGGTTTTTCGTCATTTATTTTTAATCATCTATACACTTATAACAAAGCCGTACATTAATAATTAGTCGAAATTCCTCACTTGTACCCGAGAAAGTCCATTCACTCACGTACTCACATGTACCGCTCAGAAATGACGGCATAGTGCTCAGAGTTATTTTCAGATATAGTAACAGCCTTCTAAACGTAATTCACGTTGGGTCATTTCACAGGTATTTTTTGTTCATGGGCTTGTGGTCTAGTATTGTTTGAGACGCCATATTTTTCTAATAAATAAAACTTTTTTTATTTTGATTTTTTTGTTTTTTAATCAGAAGATGAATAAGAACTATTTAACGATAGGTTTAATCTGATTTAAATACATTTTCTGTGACTATTTTCGTTGTCTATTGTCACGCAAACGTGATTTGAACTCAATTAAAAACATAAATATTTAAAAACTTCTGATTATTATTTTTTTAATATGTCCCGCTTTCGACAAATGAATCCCGCTTTTTTCACTTTAAAAGTGCCAAAATCCCGACTTGACTAAAATGAAATCTGGCAACGCTGGTGTAGCTTATCTTTCATACAATGCAACGATACACTCTACTATAGGGTGGGTACCTTAATAACGACAATTAAATAATAAAAAGTACTTTTTAAGATGCCAAAATTAGTTAAAACTGTGTACGTTCTTTTGTCGCTTTGTCCTAGCCCGTAATTAACTCGACTGTCGGCATCATGCGTTTCGAACTTTTTAAGAAATCCGTTCTTTTGTTTTCAAACTGGGATTGCTTGCATGTGCTTTATCATGAAGATGCCTTAATATCGCAAGACATAAATAAAACAAGTAAAAAAATACAGCATAATTACTGGTGCAACAAAAGACGTCAGACGAAAATAACAGACTATACGTAATAGCGTTCAAATAAGAATAGTTTTTATGTAATTACTAACACTAGTCTGAAATAAACTTTTTCTTCTTCTTTTTCTAACAATAACTCTTTGTTACATCAAAATATGCACAGTCCCTTGAGTGTCATTATTTAGAGTTTACACTGTATAAAGGATATACATATAAATATGTAAATATTTAACTAAAGCTATTTAGTATTTAACAATTGTTTTTATTCAAAAAAATAGCTTTTCATTGATTTCAATCAATTGACCTACTTTTATAACTCTGATTCAGTTAATGTGAAATCTCCTTAAACTCAATGTCCCGTAACGAGGATAAACTCCTCTTTAAAGCAACCATTTATGGTAATTGTTGTTAGTAAGTTACTAGTAAATAATAACCCATAATTTTAAAATTTCTTACTTGTAAAGCCGGTGTAGAAATTGCTGACATACAATGCTGCATAGAATGCTTCATTTCCAGCACACATTAAGAAGAGAATAGTTTTGTTAGTGTAGTATAAATGCATAACAGGGTTTTCCGACATATCTATGAACTTGTGGGAAGTCTTTCCTTGCAATATTGATGAATGCAAATACAGCCAATGGCAAGAGATATCAATAATCATAGATATTTGAAACCAAAAGGTGTATTTAGGATAAAATGTAGCCAATGTCATCATAAGAGCAGCTGTACCAGCCCTATCAGTAAGTTGATCCAACATACCACCGAATTTAGTACCTGTAATTAAATTTTTAAATTAAAAAATACAATGTAATTTTTTTTAATTTGTTTAAGTTTCGTCCTATCTTTGACAAAAGTGTGTATAAACGTCGGCAATCACCAACGATTATATAGCTAATTAGATAAGTAACTGAATTGCATATACATGTCACAAAATATATACATAACACACTTACTCTGATTAAAGTACCGTGCAGCATGACCATCGATCGCATCAAGGAGAGCCGATACTATATAGCAGGTAACAGCTAATGCACAATGAGTAGGCATATAATAAAACGATAACACGGCAAGAATTATTCGAGCATATCCTGAAATTTGACAATTTATCATTAAAGTTTAATAATCAACAATTAAAGTAACATAATTGGTCTATCAACAGAAATTACAAACCTATAATATTTGGAACAAACAAAAAAACATTTTCTTTAGTTTCAGTCATTGTATTTCAACAATATTTTCAGTTTCCAAAAGTGCTTAGTAATTCCGCAGTAAATAGGTATAAGGTACACACCCTATTTAATAACAAATAAATCTGAATTCTGATTTCTGAAGCTTGACACAAAATTACGTTTAGACAGGCGTGACGTACTAACGCTAAAATAATTTGTATGAAAATGGCAAGTAGCAACTGAGTCTGACAACTGACAAAGCATGAGCTAATGTTATTCTTATATATATTTTTTTTAAATGGAATCTCGCTGTTGGCCTTAAGGGCCTTTACAGCTCAGCTCGGGCTGGTTTGGCGAGCGTAGCTCGGCCTGATAGGGCATTTATCCCACGACTAGCGCAAGGGCGTCTCCTTTGACTTGTGAGACTCGAACCTCGGCTTGGGCCGTCGCGGGGTGGTCAATCGCTCTGCCTAGTGCTATTCCTATACAAATTCGATTAGCGTTATATAGTGGTTCAAGCCTGTCTAAAAGCAATTTCGTCTCAATTTCCTGACAGGCATTAGAGGGTAAATAAATTATACAGATATACTAGGGCAGTGTATCGATATTTAATTATTACTAATATAATAATTTATGTTAGTAATATGATTACTGACGTGATATTCAATGTCACTTTACAATCTACAGCTGTTATGCCAGATTGTGGCTTAAATATGCATATGGTTTAAACTATTATATACCTACTAGCTGATCCGGCAAACGTCGTTTTGCCATGTATATCATTTGTAATAAAAAATAGGGGTTGATCGTAGAGGGGTGCAAAATTAGGGGTTGTACGTATTTTTTAAAGCCGTATCATAAAAAAATATAAAAAAATAAATCAAAATATTAAAAAAATAAATTAGGGGTGGACTACCCTTAACAATCAGGGGGAAAAAAAATAGATGTTGTCCGATTCTCAGACATACCCAATAAGCACACAAAATTTCATGAGAATCGGTCAAGCCGTTTTTGAGGAGTTTAACTACAAACACCGCGACACGAGAATTTTATATATTAGATTATAAAATATTTTCTTATATTTATGCAAATTTAACGTAGTAGTATATTTTAATCAAGAAAAAGATATAAAGTAAGGTAATAAATAAAATTTAATTAAAAATACTCTTTTAACCAAATATTCATCTGGGCGGGAGCTCCCCAGTACCAGCTCCTTCGTATCCGACAGTGCATCCGTGCTGATGGCGCTCGGAAACAAAAAGACAAACAGCAAACTAATACTGGAGTGTCACGAAGCACTGGAGGCCATAACTCTAACAGACAGGGTTACCTTGCAGTGGATAAAGAGACACAGTGGTTCGGCAATGATGCTGCCGACGAGCTTGCAAGAAGAAGCTCCGGAATGATGCCTGCTGGCCCGTATTCGTTCCTCCCCTTGCCCTTCTCCCCCAAGTGCGAACATGAATTCGCCAGAAATCAGCTGAACTCCAACATTAGTGATGGTCGCGAAGTGCGAACTGCAAACAGTCCAAAATGGCTCTGCCAGCCACTGCTCTGAACCCGCAACTGACAAAGCGACTTCTAAGCTTAAATAGAACCAATCTCAAAACAATGATAGGGACAATTACGGGCCATTGCCTCCTTAATAAACATCTTTTTGTCCTAGGCCTGACAGACAGCCTATATGACTTTTAAAGACATTGTATATATAATTATTTAATTTATATGGCTTCAGAGTTCAGTTACTGAAGACCAATCACAAGTTACGCATGAGTGAAAACAATGATAAGAAATCATTTGCGTTTAATTTCATCTAATTGCTTTCCACTATAGTTGTATTTTCTTAAGATTCTTAAGATCAAATTGTAGATCATCTTTATTTTTTATTACGTCTTATTTTCTAATAGGTACTATTATAGTAAATATTCTTTTATTAGATATTGATTAATGTTTAATGGAATTTTAAAGGGGACATATGGGTAATGGCTTAACATATTTCTTATGTATAATATAATATTCAATTGTTATCATATTATATTATCAACAGGTTAGTAATCATAACCATATCCTTAGAAAATAAACGTCACACTTCTTTTATACGTCGCGCAATAAAAAAGATTGCAATTTTTTTTCAAAATTTGTTGTACATATTAAATCTTTTATTGTCTATGGAGCATTATACATTCAGTGTTGCTGGCTGAAAAATATAAAATACAGGGTAAAGAATGAAAAAAAAAACGTGTTTCCTTTTTTCGCCGCATGAGGGCGCTTCAAAAGCAAAGTCATTGAAAATTTGATTCGCTTATTTTGTGGAAATGTTGATTTTATTTCACCAAAAATGAAAAAATCTCATAATAAAATTATTGGGACTGTGGGCGAACTTCGTTAAAAACTTATAACAATGATTCTTTTTTAAATTGTAGGCGTTTTGGCTAAGAAAAGTGAATTCAGTGTTAAAAAGTCATAAGACTTGTGTCATCTGTCTCCTCTTCCTTCAAGATGGCTCCTTCACCGGAGTATGATAAGGAACCGAAAGCCCCTGATAAAGCTGTCGTTAACATTTCCAGTGACGATTCGAAAATTCAGTACAACCACACTAAAGAACATTCAAGTGCTTCTGAACTTCGGTCTTCAACAGCGCCTTCCAATAGTGATGTAGAGGTATGTTATAATTTTTAGTTATTATTTTGTTCCAATGGGTACGAAAAGTCTACAATTAATTATATTCAGCCACATATTGGATGCTGTGTACATAACTATTTTCCATGCTTATGCTAGAATAGAACGGTAAGTTAAGGAGTACATATTTTCAAAGCTTTAGTGTATAGTATTATTATTTAGACTTGATCAAAATTTGTCCTTATTTTAGTATAAAGGTAAATGTGTGAAGTATATAATAGTACATTTTAATTTCGCACATACTCTGTTTCATAAACATCTTAAATTTCTCCTATCATAATTTAGAAACATTTTTATCACATAATAGCAATATAGTTTATATATAATATAACAATATTCCTGATTTATTTTACTTTAGGCATTGTCTGAACGCTGGCTTCATTTTCATAAAAATGTTGTACAAAGTATATTTTTTTATTGGATAATTTTAACAATTTCTATTACTTGTAACATTTTATGATAATAATATATTGATGTTATATAATATATGTTTGACACTACTGTAAAACTAAAATATAACTTTAATTGTCTCTGTAAGTTTAGGTATTACAAAATTATTTCCCAAGGTGGATTTTTTTATCAGAAGAGGGAGGGAACTTAAACTCACATATACCACAACATAGTAATTGGATATTTTATAAGCTGTAGATTGCATTTTATAGCCAGGCTTTAATTAGAACATTTAATTCTTAAGGGCAGAACATTTTTAATTAAACAGATGACATAGGTTCCATATAGGACCCAATTTTTAATGTTTAATTGATCATTTTTGTTAGTAGCATGATAAATAATATATAATTTTTAAGATACTAACCATTATACTGAGAGAGGATTTTACACTTAGCTTCATAGCCGAGTCTCAGTCCTAAGTATGACTAATATGTAAAAACATATTGTGTTAATGAAGCCATAAAGTCATCTTAAACCTTAGTTTTTTTTCCTATGTTGTCAATGATTCTTTTGAAAACCTTATAAATACACTATGAATTATGAAAAGTTATTATTATTGTAAACCATTATCTACATTTGAAATAAAAAATAGTTAGTTTGCCATCCTCAAACCCCCTAATGTCACATCTAGCATAACTTGTTATTGTTCATTCAATTACAATTTTGATTATTTTTTTAGCGTAAATACTAAGGTATTTTCTGTAGTATATATTTATTTTCATGTATATATTCATCTTGTTATAAAATAATAAATATGAGTGTACATACCTTACATATTTACATAGACTATCAGAATACTATTACATTGTTGGACAAGGTGTCAGAAGACTTAACTTCTCTGTAAAATGACATAACTTAAATAGGGTTTTTACAGTTTCTGACAGTACATTAAGTTTTGGTATAAATATATGTATATAGGAAATTGTTATTGTATTCAATTCCTTCAAAATCAATTATCATATTTTACACATAACTGTTACAGCTGTTCTAGAGTTAGATGTATATCTAAAAACTAATCTATCAAGCCTATGCTGAGATTGAGACTGAGATTTTGTATTTTCAGTACCTATAAGGTGAAGATACATATTGTACATTAGAGCTATTTTTGACTATTTATGTATTCAAGTATGAGTATGCCCATTATGTAGTTCGAGGTTTTTCAATAATCAGTAACACTTAAGGGTCGAAGTTTGTGACGCAATTCCCCAATGACCCTGAACACACCTCCACAATGAGACAACGCCTCCTAAAAGCGTTATATTTCATTTCACGAAAATGAGTATTAGCCTAAAAATACGTCTGTCCGATGCTGACGCTTTTATCGTACATCTCTATTATTTGTGTTTTAATGAATTTTACAAAAAACGTGCTTTACGATTACAAATATAGTTTGCCAAGTTACGCCTTATTACTTATTATGTAAATATAAGAACCAGTTTTAAGGGTTTTGTATCAAATTTTATCCAAAATGCGATTGCATTAAAAGCCATAAATTATAAATAAAATAATCATTTTCGGTTTTAAGATTTCAGTAGTTTTTTATTAATATACCACAAATTTACTCTAATCGTCTAGCTAACTAATTGTTAATGATGTGCATGATTTATTTAATCGAATGTTGTGGAGTGGAGATATTAGGTACTATAACAATTGCAAATTGTGAAAGTCCTTAAACAGTTTTTGTTGCTAGTGTAAGTAGGCTAAGTGATTTTCCTTGTTTCTGATAAAAACGAGATGTTCCAAGTATGAAGTACTGATCTATCTGTCTCGACAAACAATAAAAACTTACTTTACCTTTAATATTACCACGATATTTCACGATAAAATACAAGATGAGATATATGTGCAAAATCCTTGAGGACTTATTGAACGGGACAGATGGTTTTGGGCTTCAACCTAACTGAACAAAAACTAAAATATTAATCCCTCGGTAATTTAATGTTTGGTTATTTAATTAGAAAAATACCAACCAGGTATGATCAAAAATAATTTTATACAAAATTATGTTGAAATTAAAAAAATAAACCGTTATGCAGACAATGCAGTTGGCGCTAATTACTTGACGCATACTTCCGAAAACGCTAATTAAGTTAAATTAGCTACTGTTGATATAATAATAATAATTAAAGATGAAAGTTTCCAAAAGTGATACTTTTTGTTTGGTCTGAATTATAGCCTTTCTAAATATGATAAATCTTGATATTTCATAAACGTTATTTGTAGTGGAACCCGTCACTAACGAACAATATTGTAACTAACTGTACTATTTTTAAATGTACTAAATATTATTTTAATCGCATTTAAAAAGTTAACTTTCCTTCGTTAGGAGCGTTCAAGTATTTATATATATTCGTAACAAATTTTGGGGGTGGGAGGGTCCTTTTGTAACCACATAATGGTAACTTTTAGGTATAAAGAGTCACTGGCTGGTCACGAAACGTTTTACTACTGGGTACAGAAAAACGTTACGGCGCGTTACACGGGGGGGGAATCAATAATTTCCAAAAATTGCGTGACGTAATACTTGAACGCTCCCTTAGGAGGAGGTTGCTTTATATAACAAATCGTGTTTAATTTAAAACTCTAAATATAAATCCCTTCACTAAGTAATCAAAGTGCTTAGACGAGCAGTCTAATTAGTCATGCTAATAGGTGTTTACCGAAAAGCGTAAGTGGTATGCAGTATTGAGACGGTGTTTCTCGTAAATAACGTTACATTTTGGCTCGGCTCCACCGCTTCGCTGACACACTGTCTCGGTTTCACGCTAAAGCATGTTTGGGCATTAAAAAAAACGCGATTTTACACTGACCTTTATACGCTATATTTATCTGGTAGGTGCATATTTAGTTAATTATTAAACTATAACTTACCTTACTTGCAGAGTTAGCATTATGGACTACGGGTAATTCTCACGGACAGTTTCGTGATTTAGTATATTTCTAGATATGATTTATTTAGGAAATATTACTTTAGTCCTAATTCTATGTCATTGGCAGCTTTGTATTTATCCTGATGATATTAGCTGCTAACAAATTTTTAGAATATAAGGTTTTACTAATCTCTACAGTTTGATAGTATTTAGAATAAAAGTGTTTTGTTTATCATCTTTCTATGACTGAATGAACGACTTTGCGGATGATTTCATGATCGCGTCGCACGCGCAACAACACCCACAGGAAAAGTATCTAAAGGCAATATGATGCATGTGTTAATAAATAAAAATATTTTTATACATAACAAAACTTGATTTTATTACTACGATACGTGTCGGTTTTTCTTAATTTTTTTTTCATAGAATAAAATTACCAACTTTAATGATCCGTTTCTGTGTCAACTATTTTTAATACAACCGCATAATGTAATTCACTATTCGCAGAAAGGATACAATAAGACGTTCTTTTTCTAAATTAATTCATGATTTCAGATTCATGTTCTAAATTTGTAGGTTTATTGCTTTTTAAATATTCGTATACGCGAAATGACAAGAAAATGATATGCTTACCCTTCACAATTTTCTTCATAATGAAGATAATGTTACATTTGACGGGTCAGATTTCTTGTGATGATAATTATATTGAAAATTTTAAACGTTATTTCCTACGTTTACAATACTAAGAAATTTAATATCTATGAGACAACAGTTACGCTACCGTTCTCGCGTCAAATTTTGTGGTTTTGTGGATTTGCTGTGATTTCAGTAAGTATTTATGATTACTTTTGAAATTTCAATAGGCATAAAGGAGTTTGCATCAGATTGTTTTTATCCATTAAACCGTTACTAATGCTTGTCATTAAGCATTATTAAGTTAAAATTTGAAAACGAAATAATAGATAATTAGTAGAAAGCACACCAATTTGTTAACGCAGCTAAATATTACCGAGAAATAAACGAATCACTAAAAATGCTCCTCAGTGTACAGTAGCCTTGGAGCTAATGATTCAGCGACCAATAGACCGAAACAATGTTACGAAATTTATTACGTGATCCGCAAACATTGACTTGTTGTTCTGATAACTATCTGTACCTAATCTAAAACTTCTGGCCTAGTTGTACGGTAATTTACTACATTTCATGGACGACTTCCAGCGACAGTGACTTATAATTATGACGATAGGCGTTGTACAATATTATTAACACTCGGGTTTGTTTCGTGGATAGTACGGTTTCAATGAAGGATACGTCAGATTACATAGAAACAAAAACAAATTTGTTGTAGAACAGAATATTGTCTGTTAACCGTCAGCGAAAAGTAAATAACAAAGGCGTGACGCCACGGTGTTTCACATTAAGCGTTCTCGAAATTTAAAATGACCATGACCGTGTTGCTTATGATAAGGTTACTGTTGTTCATTATTATTGTTGTGATAACGTACGCCGATATTAGGCGCTGCCATTACAGATACTGTTGCTAGGTGACGTAAATAGGAATTTAAGCTAAAATTCAATTCACTCTATACCCCGGGGTTCAATTAGGTATTCCGTAGATAGCTTTGCGTGTTTTGAATGTATGAACATAATTTCCAATCACGCATGGGTCGTGTTTGAATAACTATTTTTTATTAGAAATTTTATGCTTAATTATATGCTTTTTATATCTTCACGCTGGAGCAGTTAAAGCTAAAATGTTAACATTATCGCAAAACTTTTCATATCTGGTACTCATTTGGATTATTCGATAAGATATTGACTGAAATTCGACTGTTATAAATAATTGGTATTATAATTTAATGGCAATTTAGTGAAAGTGGAATGTGATTTTTCAGAATAAAGTCGTGGAGAGCCTAGACGACGGACAGTTGCGAGCACTTCTGGATGAAGCGATCACCTACAAGTGTCCCAAAGACCGAGAGGGAAAGAGCAGTCTCTTCAAGGTATTGTTATACGAGTAATTTTGGGTCCTTGACAGTTGTTTGTTTGTGTTTGAAGTTGTTCTCGAATATACAAAAAAAACGTTTGTTGGGTTTTAATACAATGCTATTTCCTGATATTTATTTCAAGTACATGAACGTTTACGAATCTTCGTGCTGAATAAAAAATGCACCGTTGGAATGACCTAACGTCACGGTTAAAGAAAGTCTGATATTTCGTTGAGTTGAGTTTCGCGTCGCATTTATCAAGAATAAGCTAAATATCTTAACTTCGAGGTTCCATTTAATACATCATTCGAGCGAATACCTACTAGATTACTAGTTTTCTGTCTATTTTTAAAATACATACTATATGGATATGATTATGCCCAAATTAATCTTTATTGATTTAGAAAAACATATTTTTTATGGCAATAACTAAATATAACCGTATCATATATAATATTAATTTATCAAGGAATTTAAATTAAAAATCGACTAAATCTATACTTTTGAAGAAAAAACAAAAATGTTTATTTTAATAAAACTCGTGAGATTTATATTATACAATTTCATGATGTTATAATGTAGTTTAATAATGTGATGACGTTGTGATAAAATAATGAAATAATTAATTGTCATCATTAAATTTAATACGTACTACCATTGTGACTGGCAGAATATGCGAACAAAATCATATAGTACTATTTATATTATGGTAACTACACCATAGTCGTGTAAATAATAGAAATTTATTATTATTAAAACTATTCTATACTTTATTGAGCTTCGTCGTTGACTTTAAATAATGCTGAAATAGTCGCAAATACCGTAATCTTTTTAACGGGAGGGTAGTTAATAAATATTGAAACAAAATTCAAGCCTTTAGGATTGTAGTATTGTTGTTGGATTGTATTACCAATTAATTGAGAGCTATATCCACTGGCCGACAACAAATTATATCTCATTAACAGGAATTAATTATTTTATTTCATCAGTCTGTAGTTTCAGGATTAATTGGCTTTTATTAACTTTTGACTTAGATTAAAGTTTTTAATAGAGGTAGTTGTTTCGTCAGGAATTGCTGGAGGAAGTGGAACAAGACGAGGAAGCGTGTGAGGCGGCGGCTCGAGCGGGGCGTGCGGGGAGGCGCGACCATCACTCGAGTCTGCAAGACCTGGTTGCTGCCATGGCAGCGGAACCCGCGCCTAGGCGCAGACACCATCACTCGCACAACGTGTCGGCTAGGACCCACCACGGAGGGAGTTTGCCCTCCGGTGTAGATAGATGTAAAGAAAACTAAATTTGTTTTCCAAATTTTTGTATCAAGTGCTTAAAGCAGGAGTTTTTTGGTCAAATTAAGAGCCGGTTCCAAAAAACATTTATTACACTTTCAGGAATATCATAATTTTTGTTATAATCTAAATATAATAGCATAACAAAAATGGCTTAGCTCAACATGAATGCACTTTATAGTATAGTGTAAAACTAATGGTTATACATACATACAGTAATGAACAATGGCGATCTTGTAATAGTAATTACTTTTAAATAAAAACAAACGTTAGATATTGATTGACTAATCCTAAACGATTCGCTTACACTGATTTCTGTTCTGTTCCTTAATATATGGAGGTGTCACGTTTAATATGTGTATTTCAGCCTTCCTCTTTAGCGAAGAGCCGGCCCGTGGTGCCTACGTGGCCACAGTGCGATGTGTCAACCCTCCACCTCTCGCCGAACGCCGCGTGTCCGCCAGTGATGCCAACGCACCCGGTGATATCGAACTTGTAACCAGGTAATCAATTTATTCAGCCTAAGCATGTTTACGGTCAGTTCAATGCAATAAACTGTTAATGACGTTAACATGTTTCCCAACTACCTTTGTGACAAGGTCAAATAATGTTGTTTATACTTCTTATCAATTATCGCATGTATAAGCGCTAGAACTCCCGTGATGCTAATTTGCTACGTGTAATATTGAATAGTACGAAGGTTAAACTTTTTAATTAACCTTCCAGAGTACAACTAGAATTTTTTTTATTTTTATTTCTTTATTTGTGTGTCTGTAAAAAAATTTAATGCTTATGTGCTACACTTTATTACTCCATCTCTAAATGTATACATTTGTACTAAGCATTAGTGTTAGTTAGTATGAAAGCCCTTTCGTAATATTTCTTAATTCGCTAATATTCATAATATTCTTTGAGTTTGAATAAAATTCAAAGCATGTCAAAGTCATAAAATCGTAGTAAAGTTAAATACTAAGACACGTCCTCCGTCCCCGGTCCGTGCGTAATAATGGCGTTTGTCCCCAGGCGGAGTAAGCCAATGTTCCCGATGACGTACACGGCGCGCGCTACCTTGGAGATCGGCAGTGGCAGCGTGGGTACGGGCCGCGCGGTCACCACCACCACTGCCTCCAACCAGGTGCGTACCACCACTCCCCGCAGTAACCGCGACCTTCCTACAGCTGGCCCGCCCCAAAGGCGTCTCGACACTCCGGCCCTCTACGACCCCTATGCAGGCCAAAATAAACTCATGAAGGCTCTCTGCGTCCGCAAGGAATCCCCCTGCGACAGTGGTGGTAACGTACGGAAAGAGGCACCCGGTGGAAAGGAACCGCGCGGCTCCGACGCTAAAGAGATGGATACCGTCGACGTAGAGTGGAATCGCAGAGTAGATATGTGGTACGAAAGCTTGAATCGCTACACGCCACCACTCGATTACCTCGGCGTTCAGCTGGATGAAAATTTGTCAAAGGATCGTAGCGCTAAATTAAAGGCTGTTGATAGTGATAATAAAAATATAATTAATGTTAACGAAAATAATACTTCTAATGTTGATAAAAGTTTTAAGGACACACCGAGGAACAAGCTGGATAGTGAAGACAGGGTTTTACATTTAAGTGATTGCGAAGAAAGTGATATTAGCCTAAGAAGACTTCAGAAGGTGGGTAGTGGTTTAGTTACACCAAATTTATCTCTGCTAATAAATCCAAGAAATATTAGAAATATGACAATACAAAAAGCTAATTCTTTTGAAGATCTGAATGAAGATTGTGATGCTAAGGATAATATAGTTTTAAAAAGTTCTACAAAAAAATCTAAAATCAAAGATAAAAAAAATAAAAATGATGAATCACCAATTATTCAAAGCACAAAAGATTGTTTAGAACCATTTAAAAAAAATGATACTTTAACAAGCAACACTTCTCCACGTATGACTTCACAAAAGAAAAAAGGTAATTCAGAAAATGGAAAAGATCAAGAGAAAGAAATGGAAAATAAAGTACTAGACGAAAGTAGTTCCTGTACTTTGAATATTAATGATTTAAAAGAATTAGAATTTGTGAATATAAATAAAACAGAAACAAATTTGGAGAGTGGCAAAATTAAACCTAATGCCTGCGAAAATAGGTCTTGCTCAGAAGAGTGTTCGGAAGTGCATCAATTGGTGGCAAATAAATATGAAAAAGAAAGTAACAACAATCTGGCGTCTTACGAAAATAATTTTGAGCCAATTTCCAAAGAAAATACACATAGCGCATCTCAAGAACACCAGGATTTCGAAAACAAATTCATTGATTCTAAAATATCAGGGAACAGTCCTAGTAAATCGAGTTCTGGTGAAGTTATCACTTCAATCACCGAACAAAAATTGGTTGACAGCACAGAAAACAAATTAGGGCACGATATAATAAATCAATTAAGGAAAAAATATGGAATATCAGAAACAAAAACTGTGCCCGACGCAGCAGATAAACATGACAAAATATTCTCGAAAAACGACGACAACAAACCATTTGATTTCGCCGATTCCTGTATCTTTCTAAGCATCCGCGAGAGCCTACTGAAATCGAGATACTTTATAAATCATCCAGCTAATAAAATCACCGAAGGCGACAATAACGCCAAAGAAACCTCTGTCGAAAAAAAATCTAAAAAGAAAAATAAACAGAAAGATAAAGAAAACCCGGGGCCCGATAAGAACAGTGCCTCTAAAAAGAACGCTTTAAAATACCTTCTTTATAGTGATTGCACAACTAATAAGGCCAAAGAAAAATCTGCAATCGCTAATAAGGTAGGAATTTGAATTTGATCATGTACGAAAATTTCCCAAGAAAATGTTTTATTAAAGATATTTCTTGTCGTTTTGCAGATCGATTCCGCTATTCCATTCAGTTGCATCACAACACCAGAGGTTGTGGCAAGTTGCAACACGACGTCTACTACGCAGTCTACGGTCGTCGTGGATCCAAAGGTATTGACATTTTTCTTAAGCTCGGCGCATTTAACATTTTGCTCTGTATCTCACACCATTTGAAATTTACGTTTCTATTACTGTGTGTTGTGTTAGTTTATCAAATCCTAAATTTAAAACAATTACTTAAATTCCGATATCTTTTGCGTGAATTATAGAATACCAAGTGTGGTAAAAACGAAGTTCGTTCGTCGTGGTTCGTTTACGACCATTCATTTGAATAGGGAACGTGTGTGAGTGTGCTAGGGTTAAGTGATATGATGTACAGCCACTGCAGTTGGAGTCGTGCTACAACGCCGTGGCCAGCCTCACGGGCAGCCCCCCGGCCCCCGCCGCCGACGCCTCCTCCGCCTCCGCGCCCCACGCCCTGCAGGTAATAATCCTTACATCGGCCCTCGCATTAAGCGTCATAAATGGTGTGAGGTACGGGTATCGCTTCGCGCATTACTCGTAAGACTCGATGCGGCGCCATATTTAACGTGTCCGTTTGGCTCAGTTGTCTCGCAACGTGCTTCCGACGAGCTCCCTCGGCGGCCTGCTCCTCGCCTCCGAATCCTGCCCCTCCGCCGACGAGAACAAGGTACGTGGAACCTACGAGTAGGACATCTTGAGAGATCTTCACCCCCGTAGATCGTCGAGAGTAAACATAAGTTCTACCTTTCTATTCGAGTGCCTTCGTTTACAGAAGTCTCTAGACGAAAACGGAAATGCGGTCCACGGATTCAGTTCGCCCGCCTCGGGATCCAGTCAACAGAAGAAGCCGAGGCGGAAAAAGTCATCGAAAAACGAGACCGTGATCAAGTCGCACCAGATAGACGGCTACCAGGGCAACAAAGACCTCAACGAGGTGTTGCGATTCATCGAGTCGAACGCGGACGGCGCGCGAGGCTCCAAAGCGCGCGCCAAGCACAAGGACGACTCCGACGACAAAGGCAAGAAGAGATGCGCTGACCGTCGCAAGGACAAAGAGAGCAAGGTGAAGCGTGCCTCCTCGCTCGAGGAGCGCTCGCGCACCAAGCTGGAGGACCTCACCGACAAGCCCTCCGCGCACCGCCGACCCGCCGCGCCCCCCGCCAAGCCCGAGCGCCGCTCGTGGGGCGACGACGCCCGCGCCGCGCTGCTGCTGCCCGACGACGCCGAGCTAACCGACTTCCAGACGGTCACCAAGCGCCGCAAGCCGCGACGCCGGCCGGACGACGCCGAGCCGGCCCGGCCTCCGCCCTCGCCGGAGCCCCGCGCCTCGCCGTCCGAGCGCAGCAACGACTCGAACGACGATTTCGACTCGGCGCACTCGCCGCCGCCCGCGCCCGTTCCGGCGCCACCTCCGCCGCCGCCGCCGCCCGCCCTGCCGCCGCCGCACCCGCCCGCCTCGTACGCGGACATCGCGCGCACCCGCAACAATATTCCCGATCTCATCGAGTCGTGCAACTTCTACGCCGAGGGCGAAGAGCCGACGGAGCAGCCGGCTCCCGACCGGAAGGCCGCCGCCCCCGCCGGCGAGGCCATGGAAGGCTACCCGGCGCTGGCAGTGCGGCGGCCCCGCGACAAGGCCGGCGGGGGCGCGACGAGGCCCCAGCGCAAGGAGCGAGGCGAAGCGCGAGCGGCGGAGCCGGCGCCGGACGTGGTGGCAGATCGCCGGCCGCCCGTCATCTTGTTGGCGGCGGCGGCCAGGGCCCATGGCGACATGGAGGGCATCACGTTCGGTTTTGACGTCAACGAGCAGCTGCTGAGTGGCGGCAGGCGCGCACGTTGCGACCTGCTCGAGGGCGTGCCGGTGCGGGCGGGCTGCGCGGCTTTGCGCTACGTGCCGCCCGCGCCGCTGCCGCACGCCACGCACACGCACCAGATCGTCGACTACGTTGGCACGGGTAAGCCGATACATACAATTGATTTTCTTAGGGTACCGTAGCATAAAATTATTGTATGCACAAGTATTATCGTAATTTTCTATCCAAATATCTTAAGATGGTTCAAGAGATTAGCTTAAAATATATTTTTTTCAGCCTGGGAGGACATAATCCGTTGCAGTAACGGCAAAGTGCGGTATTTCAGCGAATAAAAGCTCCCGTACAGACGCTGCGTTAGCCCTCGAATATCGCGTGTGAGTGGTCCATAAACGTGACTTGCGTCGCTCTGCGTACATTTGCTTGTAAATATGTGCATAAGTGAGCTATTTAATGTCATGAACACCATTTGGTGTCATTTCTTGGTGTAGTGTTGTCGAGGTGTATTTTCGTGTTATGCTGTTGTGTCACGACTTTCAGTACTTTCCAGTCGCACCGGCGTGGCGACTCACTTCCAAAGATAGAACTCTACTCTTGTATGCGGTATGGTTTCTTCAATTCATCACTGAAGGTCTGAATGACGTCACTAGTTAACCTAGTCATTCTTGTTAACGTATGAACTCCGGCGTGTCGTGATACAACAAGTTAGCTTAAGATGTGATTAAATTTCGTTCTACCGAATAGCGTCGATTCGGTCTTCGTTTTTGTTATATAATCACAATTATGCGATTAATTCTCTCTATTATAACTAGATACTGATATCCTAATTTGTTATGTATTTTTTAAGTTATACTTTTACACAGAATTTGGTTTATTGTTTGAGCTTGAATGTACTGAATGGTGCCAGTACGATTCCGCTAAAGGTCGGTAATAGATGTGGTTATTGATATTATTATCGTCGTAAGAGATTCATAATTAACAGGATTTATGTCATCGGCTATTTAATTTAAGGGTTATAAACACGTAACCCTTAATTTGCTTCAACATACTTTACTAACTTTGTGAGATCATTGTCGTACAGGCACCGTGTGTATATTTTAAATTTTAAGAATACATTTATTTTTTAATAGAGAAATATAGTCTATACTTCGTTGATATAAATTATACAGATAACAAAATAATTCTTTTATATTTTGAAAGAATGGGGGATATGGCAACTTACAACTGTATCCTAATATTCTTAGTTCTTCTACTTAACGGTTATTTAAAATGGCCACAAACTCGATATGTGTACGTCCGAAGTGCGTACCAACGTAGGTATTTACCAACATTCGGTAATATGTACTAAAGTATTTTTGTGTCTCTTTCTTGCGGTACCTTTGGCCGTTGAAATTCCCTGAAAAGTAAGCAAAAAGAGGTAAACATTTTTGGGCAATTCAATTTATTATCTACCAACCTTAAGTCATAAAGTGCCCCAAGAAGAAAGGTTAAATTTCAAAAAATTTTTAAACAAGGCTAAATTTAAACATTACAAAGCTTAGTACTGCGAATATCCCCCATTTTATTAAGCATGAATGGAAGGTAGGCTTCACGATTTTTGTTATCCTATAAATCTATCAATCTCCTGGAGTTTTTAATCGTTCCCATAAGATTTTTTTTACAATAAAGGATACCAGATGTTGATAACATACCTAAGAAATCGTGTCGATACCTCATATATAATATCTATATCATTAGAATTTTGCCCTCATTTTTAAACTAAATATAAACCAAGATAATAAAAAAAATTCGTTACAAAGCTAGTCGAATGTTCTCCTAAATTCGAATCCTTTTCAATATCGCTATAGTCTTAGTGTATGTTAGTATAAATCGTGTTAATATGTCATAACATAAATTATTAAAATAAGTATATAAATGTGAAATTATGTAAATAAAGTTCAGTCATTAAGAAAACATTACTCAATTGGTGTGTTTCGTGTGTTTCTAAAGTATTCACTTTTCTACAACAAATGTCTTATCACCAATACTTTGCTTTTCGAAACTGCATTTATAACATGTAGGTCGTCTGGTTGCTATATTTTTAATCTAGGTGTATCGTAGGCCGATTCATATGTAATCAGAAAGTAGTTACCAGATAAGCGGCACATTAGCTGATGAAAAATACACCGCTGACATGGACTTAAGGCAAATTCGGAGACAAGCGCGACTATGACTGGTATGTCAAAATCGAAAATATTTTTGACGTTTAGTAGTCAGACCAAGCGCTCTTAAACTCCCCTCGAGTATTGAGTAGTTTTCAGTTGTTTTAATAATTAAATTAGCTTAAGACTTGGAAACCTGACTGAAATCCTATTTATTTGAGAGGCAAAATTGACCCAAACAGGCTTAACCGCCGACTTCGAGTCAACGATTGAAGCTCTTGTTTTCTATTTTTATTTAACAATTTAATTAGAAATGAGCTGCTAACGTCGGTAATTCACACTGCTGGCAGTTGTGGCAATGAAATCAGAAAATATTGTGACGAATTAACCTACGCACTGATGTAATAAGAGGTAAAAACACGAGTGTTTTTACTCAGTTATTTGAAAAAATAAATGTAAGATTTACAGTCGAGGCTAAGCGCTAAGTATGACTCCCGTGTGTCAGAAACGTATTGGATATTGTCATACTTAGCCGTAAGTCGCGACTCTAAATCTTACCCTTAAACGCCCTTTAATTTACGTTTTTAGAAATTGTTCACCGTTACTTTGAAACGTATTTTACTGCCCGGAATGTCTGAGATTTTAATTCTATATAAGATTTTTGATGCGTCGTGGTAACTTGTGTTATTGCCTCCTGTATTGTGTGAAAATGTAAAATAAGTTACCGATATTATTGATGTACTTTTAAAGGTTGGATTCGTGATCTTGCTGTAGAACATTGTGTACATATTTCCATCGTTAAATTATTAAAGCACTTATTTAAAAATGCTGATGACAATGTCCAGCAATTGTACGACCCGTTTACTCTAGGGGTAAAATACAGAGTTGAGACTTACGAACTGTGTCTTCCGTATCTCAAAATATAAAAGTTTTTGACGTACGAGAGTCATACTTAGCGCTTAGTATTGACTTTGAATCTTACCCTTAAATCGGCTTTGTAACCGAGTAAAAGAAAACGGGTCATTTAGCCGGTCAACTTAAGACTTAACCTAAGAACTACAAAGCTTTGACTTCTTCATATAGCTGTCGCTTCGTAAAGTGTAGTTTCATTTCGTACTTTGCTGTATTTCGTGTTGAGGTTTTTATCAATTACCTTGACAAATGCTCATATCAATGGTGTAGAAATATTATTTATTATTTCTTTCCCTTGTAAAATATGTAAATAGATTTGCAAAACTAATTTTTATCAACGTTATTATTTACTTTAGAAAACTGAGCGAATTTAGTGAGAGCTATATTTTTAACGTTTTGGCCATACTAATTTCTTTTGGAGTTTATTAAAAAAATCATAAAATCTGGTGTTACAATTTGTACTTAAAATTTAAAACAGTGGTTTATGATTTAGAACAAATTTAGCTCTTCGCTATTTTATGTCTTTACAAAAAGCCTTAATTTAACTGCATACTTTTCGAAAGGTCTTCGATAGGTTAAATTATTTAACAATAAAGCGCGCTCAGATAGTTTAATTCGGTTTGTAAAAAAGATGTCGCTTTCCAAATATTGGCGCTATCGGCGAAGTGTATATTACGAGATATTAACTATTTCTATTATCTAAATGTCTGAAGCCTTACCCGACCAGTTATGTCGATATGGATGTTGACAAATAAGGGGAAATCTATATTTCTTTCACCTACATGGCCGAATAGTTTATGTATTCAAATCGACATTATTGAATGAGGCAACAGATGCTATTTTATATTTTAATTGTAGAGAAAAGTAAACCGCTTTATGTATCAAACTTGCGATCCTATATTTTTACTCTGTTTCTTAGTTAAATAAAATACCGCCAATGATTGTCGTAGTAAATTACCATAGATATAATACTATCCTCTAGATTTATTTTTCGGACAGAGTAAAAGTGTAGACGTTTTGAACTGTAAATTATTTGTTTATAAGCAACACTGTAACCAACTACAATTTACAGTTATGTACTTTTTCACTGTTTCCGTTTTCTTAATAAAAATGTTGAAATGATTAAATATTTATTTTATTTAATAAACCTGTGTTAAGTTACTAATTTGATAATAATACAGGTACCTAATTTATACATATGCTACTGGTGCCTGCTTCAACCGAAGTCTAACCAGGGCAGGGGTGCGAATTCTACGCGGACTTTAAATAAGAACAAAATATTTTAATATTATAGTTTATTTTTTATAACATGATACAGATGTTACGGCTTGTATTCAAACATCATTCTATTAATAAAAATATTAACAAAATTATCTTACATCCACTTGAAAATGTACAATTTGTAATAGTTCTTATAAAATAATCTACATCACATACAAGTCGGTATCAAAACCATACAGGTAACTCGGATTTGATACAAACTCGCCTTGTTAACGGCGTTACTCCTATATAAGGCATTGTACACGTACTGTCTATAGAACAAGCTCAAACGTCCCGTCAAGAATGCGGAACCCGTTAACCTTAGTGTATTTGGACGCAACTACGCTTAGTTCTGGAGTTCACTTGCATTTTAGCCATTATTTACACGGTACAAAAATTATTTTAGAAAAATAAGCCTTAGCGCTCATTTGGGGTTTGAAACTGGAAGCAGAAATATCAAGGATGTATTTTCGTCGCTGTCAATGTTTAGTTTACAAAAAAGTACGTAAAATAAAATATTACTAGTATACACGGAAATTATATACATCCTTTATGAAGCACCTACTGTTAAAAGTCACTAGAATATTTTAAGTTTTATTTAGAAAAAGGTTAATGTTTATAGTAAATTTAAATTTATAAACAAGCAAATACTATTTTATTTACAGCGTAGTAATCCAAATGATAGCCAAATTCTAAATTAACGAGTTTCGTTGTCTGTATAATAGATATTGAACATATAATTTTTATTCCACATTCCTATTGATTTAGGCCCAAAGCCAAAGGCGTAAACGTTTGAACTTAACCCTTTATTTTATTAAAAAATCTCAAAATTGAATACAAATATAGCAGTGAAAATTTATGCATCTTAAACAAACAATTTTAAATAATAAGTTATTTAAACAATAAAATATCTTACAATAATGAAAGTGAACGACAAAGAATATTATACTATGGAATGAGTAGTGAGAATTGTAATGATTTAAGCTGTTTCTGAGACTCGAGTATGTTCCTTCAGAACAAAT